CAAGTGTGAGCCTGGGGCAAGGCTAGTCTTGCTGCCTTTTTTTTTTTTTAAATCTGTGACTTTGCAACTACAGCTTTGTCCCAGTTTCCACTCATTGGAAATGCGGATAGCTTTTATCTCACCTCAACCCTTTCATTTTTAAACAGTAGCAATCCTGATTTAATTTATGCTAGTTTGTCCTTCTTGAATGTTGAGATAATTCCTTTTGTTAAACACCATATCACAGATTCTACTTTGTCTTGTGTAAGTAAAAGCTAAATAGTTGGTGGCACGTGTGTGCACATGTGTGTACGTGTGCATTTACTACATGCTTCAGATTTTTCTAAGTGGTTTCACACACATTCATTCATTCCTCACGGCCCATTTTCCAGATATGCAAATGGAGAAACATAGAACTCTTCCCCAAGATTACATTAATAAGTGGCAAAACACGTTCAAACCCAATTAGTCTGAATTCTCTAATGTTGTATGTCTCACCTAATGTCACATTTGTTATACTTTGTCATTTGACTACATGTTTTTGTCCTCCTCTAGGCTTTAAAAAAGCTATCATATTGGAATCACATCTCCTGACGTTAAAACCTTAAGATAACTAGGTACCTAAAGTAGATCCACAGAACAACAGCAGCATATATATATATATATATATATATATATATATATATGAAATTTTTATACCTTACCCTCTTACAATGGTATTTATCTTGCTTCTTCTTGTTGGCAGCTGATTATCTAAGTGTAAGATGTTTAGACTGAATATGTAAGGACTGCCATAATATAACTGAGATAGTTTATAAGGAAGTTGCTGCCAGAGTTACTTTATTTTCTAATTTGTGCCTTAATTTTCTGAATTTGCACACCTTTCATAAAAGGAAGACAGAGCCATCCCAGAACATTACGATTTTGGTTTTCTTTTATGTGGCAACTGATTTAGCAAACTTTCAAGTTATAGACACTGTGTTTTATATTAAGAAGTGGCTAACAGGTTCTATGGCAATTATGTATTATTTCAAGGAGTTAATCAGATTGGTCAGTAGATATCAATGTCTCGTGGTGGTGCGTGTCTGTAATTCCAGCATTTGGAAGACTGAGGCAGGAAAAGCACTGCAAGTTGACGGCCAGCCTGGGCTACAACATAGTAAGTTCAAGGCCAGCCTGACATAGCAAGACCCTGTCTAAAAAAACACAAGTTACTATTTCTTGATATTCATTATTATTTTATATTTTCTTTTTGTAAATCTAGCCTGCATATTTTTGAATAGTAGACTAGATTAGTATATATGTTATGTGTGTATGTATTATAAAGTATATATGTATAGTAAATATGAAATATGAAAGTTCATATAGTAAATATGAAGTATGAAAGTTTAGTGAATGTCTTTTTAAACTTCCAATACATTATTGAAGAACTCTGGAATATCTTACCCTTACCATCGGGATAAGATATGAATAAGTATATGATATGCCCACAGAACATGTGTTACTTACAACAATTTTAAACTACAGGGTAGCCTATACTTTAATACAAAATATATCAAGGATATTGATGGAATTAAGCACATTAGAGTCTACAACAAGTAAACTGAATGAAACCTAAGCACAATGAGAGGGTTGAGGAGATGATATTTTAGTTTTCTGAGAGTCCCGATTATGTTTTACAAGTGACTAGGACCATAGAGCTAATAAGATGTATGTGGAGTGTTAGTTTGTTTGCTTTTTAATTTTGTTTTTTTCTGTAGCTGCTTGTGTATCTACATGTGTATGTACATGCTCATAGGGATTGTGGATATACTGAAAACCCAATCAACGACAGAAAACCTGAGTTTAATCATTTGTTTATTTTAACATGTGGGGCATTCTAGACTGTGTACTGATTCTTATTTAATGGGTTATATATATCTTATCTATTGAGAAGTTTAAATTTAAACCCTTTAAATTGGTCTCTATTTTGGCGTAAGACCGTATTGGAAAACTCTTTAGAAATCACAATATTCTGTGTAATTATATGGCGTATTCTTCCATATAAAGTGCTTTCATAAAAAGCATGTCAGTCAAATGCTCAAATGTCTTAATAATCCAATTATATGTGGCAGTGGCAGTAAAAACATTTTTTTAAAGCCTGAATTTGCCCCTGGAAATCCCTACTCAAATACTATCAATGATCACACACAAAATACCTCACTCTGATGTGATGAACTCTGGGAAACAAGTAACACCTTCAAAGGTATCAACAGACAAGAATTTTAAAAAGGAACTGTTTACAAATGTGATGCTAGGTTAAAGGAACCAGGAAGGTTGGAGAGGAAACCCTGGGTTAGCAGTACTGGGAACATATCTTTGCCCTCTTCCTGAAAGAGCAAAAAGGCAGAATAGCTGCTAAAACCCAGAAACAACCACAGCAGTAGTTTCTGGAGAGCCAGAGCTGTGACTTCATAGCTGTGGTTTTCATAGAGGAAGAAACAGCCTGGTAATGGAGGGGAGGGTGTGAAAGGGTTGATGCCTGGAAGTCTTGCCTCAGATTTTCCTTCTTATAAACACCTCCCGCTGGTCCCAAAAGCCTAAGTACATGGCAGCCCATGAGATTGAATCCACTGGAGGACTACCTTCCAGACCACAGACCCAGGGCTAAGGACAGAGGGCGGATGCAGGGGGAAAGCAAAGGCACAGCATTGGCAACTCACCATCGAGGAACAGGCTCCTATTGTGTTTTTTGGCTTTGTTCCCATATCACAACAAATACCTGGAAATTAAGAGTTCTTGGAGGAACGCCTTGAAATAATGATGTTTAATTGGACCACATGAGCTTAGAATGAATTTACTAGAGGAAAATTATAATGCTTATTAGATGAGTACAGTATAAAATTACAATCATATATATATCTGTCCTTATAATAAGCAGTTTCTAATTTGTATTTGTACTTTGTTAAGAACAGTAATTGCTGATACTTTTGGTAAAATGCAGGAGAAAATTATGAGTGGGGTAAATACTGTTATTCTTTCAAAACAAAAACAAAAAGATAACACACATTGTGTAGGAGAATAGTTGGAGAGCCCTACAACAGAGGAAAATGTCATTCTTGATCTAAATTCTAATAGGCAAGGCAGAGTGAAACAAAAGTGACACATGGGCTTAAACAAAACTCCGACTGCTCTGGATCCATTAATAACATGTATTACAGCCATCACAGGGGTTAGTTCAGGTTGATGGGGTGGTGGTTTATGAATGAATGTTTGAGAAGTTTCTCCTGTGGAATTATAAATGGAACCCAACTTCCTAACATTTTATTTTTCCTTGCTTATGATGGAAAGTCAATAACTTGCAGACAATAGTCTTGAATCCCTGCCTTTTCCAGGTCTTCCAGTGATTCTCCTGCCATTTCTTCAGATTGTATTTATCACCACACAGCAGTAGCCTACGGTCATGCTCACTGTCAGATGTGGCCACTTTGTCAGTCATCTGTAAATATAGTGTGCAATCTAGAGGCAATTGAGAAGACTCAGAGCAGAAAAGAAATATAAATATCCCATGGGGTTCGGAAGTAGAAATTAGAGTGAACCCATGGAGGGCTTCAAAGATGCCAGGGCTTTGAGGTTTCTGCTCATGGTCTGTTGCCCGATTTGTTGAAGATGAAATAGGCATGTTCTATTTGTGACAATTTGGCAAGCTATGTAATTGTCATATATGTAATTTTCTTTGCATACGTCATACTTCATTTAAAAGATATATATGGGATGTGTGCACATGTCCATGTGTGCACAATAGTCACTGTCCTTGTATACCTGTCTTTGGAGTGGTAGAGGGGTATCCTGTTGTCTAGAGACTTTTGATTTAGTGTTCACCTGGTCATAGGACGTAGCAAAGTGAACAGCTTAGAAATGAACATAAAAGAAGATAAATACTAATCAATTTTAGAAACATAGCTCCTAGCATCCTTAAAAGTAGAGAGTTGAATTTGTGAAGCTTTTCATAGTGATTCTCTGTCCTCAGGGGCAATTAATTATGTCAGGTACACCGTTACTAAGGCTGAGCATGTTTGTACTCCCAAGTGTCATTGAGTTCTGTATCCTAATTGTGAGCTTTCTCTGATCCTGTTTGTAACCTGAGTGTAGACTCCTGTTGCCTAAGGGAGGTAGACAGCAATAGGACTCAACTAAGGCTGTGATGGAAATCTTAGTACTCAGGACGCTGAGGCAAGACGCTCATGAGTCCAAGGCCATCCTTGGCTACATAAAGAGTTCAAGGCCAGCCTGAGCTCATAGTGAGTCTGTCCTGCAACCCTTCCCAAAGGTTTGTATGGTAATGAAAAGACATTACATCTAAGAGTGTATACAAGATATTTGACATACATCAGTTTCTTTTTATAAAATATGTTAACTTAGAAACAATAGCACTGGTGAAAGCACTAGAGAGTAGGAAGGAGTTTATTCAGAAACTGAGTTTAGCTGAAGCTTGACTGTTCTTATATAAAGAGACAAATATGTGAGTCAATCATAAGTATTTTTTTTAAGCCTGATCATTGGTTTGAAAAACCCAAGATCAAATTTCTGTTTCATCATATAATGAGAGATGCCAATGAAGGACTTGGGTGGGATAGCTCAGTGGAAGGACATTTGTTTAATATGCACAAGGCCCCAGATTCAGTCCTCAGCAACCCCCTCCAAAATAAATAAATTTTTAAAAGTCAGGGAACAAATTATCAGGCCATGTGGAGTCGCTGTGTCCTCATCTTTAGAATGAGGTTACACTGGATATGGTCCTAGCTACTCAGGAGGCTGAGGCAGGACAATCACTTGAGCTCACACTTTGAAGGCTACCCTGGGCAACGTAGTAAGATCCTGTCTCAACAACTGCAATAAAAATTTTAAAATATATTCTCTCTAAAGAATGAAGCTGGTAATACCTAGTCAGTGGGTAGTTGTGGAGTTCAAGTGAGGGAACGGGAAGAGGCAGGAGGCTTTGTCCGAGATGAACTCTGAAGCATGTTTCCCTCTCTTTCTAGTTTTCATCTTGCTGCTGCGAGAGGACACGTGGAATGCCTCCGGGTCATGTTTACACATGGTGTGGATGTGACAGCCCAAGACACTACTGGTATGTGGTTTTTAATCTCTTATATCAATAGCCCAGCAGGAGAGTATCGCAAAGATGGTGATACGTACCTCGTGGAAAAGTTAGTCTGCAGATAAACCAAAAGAAGCAAAAAATAAAAACAAAACAGTCACAAACATACATCAAAACTACTACAGTCACTTCTGATAGCCTCTGGCATGGCTTCATCATTTTTCTATACCTTTATAAGTATTTATTTGTTTCTTCTGGGTCATTCATCACTAGAAACTATATGCTTCTAATCCTTTCTTTTGATAAAAAGTTTACATGTATGAACCAAGACATATTTCCTAACTTTTGTCTTTATGAATCACAGTGCAAAATGATAAATGGGGTGAATTCTTTAATAACACATTTCATTATCTTGCTGAAATGAGCTAATTGTAGATAAAAGCCATGATCTTCATCTTGACTGGCTGGCCAGTATCCTCAGTCTTTACTGTACTACAAATACGTGCTAATTACCAGTACCATTTCTCTCATTAAAAGCTCTTAAGAAGCATAGTATATATATATTTTTTGTATCCATAACATCATATGGGTATAGTTTGTATTTACAAGCAGAGCCCTACTGGGTTTCTGAGAACCTAGTATAGTGCCAGCAGCAGAGTCTAGATGTACCAGATCAAAGCCCACTTCCTTGCAGACTACAATGGCCTGGTCGTGCAAGAAAGAGTCTTGGAAGAAGCTCAGACCCATATAGAGGCTTCTCAATGCTGGGTAAGGGAGCTGATTAAAATAGGTTCATCAAATCACTTTGCGGCCCCATAATACTGTTCAAATGTTCCATGGATTGAAGGAGTCTCAGAGCTTCCAATCCATTTCCCTGTTTTCTGCCTTTTTTTTTTTTTCACAAGGTGCTAGCACTTTGCTCTAAATGAAACACTAACTAAATACAGAGATCAAAGAAGGGGAAAGGTGTATGGGAAAAAAATGTGTATGAAATGACTATTATCTAGAAGAATTATTAAACTCTTTCTGCTAGCAAAACAAAACAAAACAAAAGGATAAATTGTGATGGCTTTAAGTGCCTGTGCTCATCTCTTTCCTGTTGGTGATAATGCCCCATCCTTAACTGCCCCTCTCAAGAAAGCATACGTGGGTGCAAAAGAAGGATGAAGATGTTAATCACTGTGGCTTTATGATCATCCTTAGTCAAAAATGATTTTATGGTTAGAGGCTTGACTTTGACAGGTGAGGAATTTTCAATAAATTTGTCTTAAATATTGACACATTTATTACAGAGATTCAGTCTTAAATCTCAAACCCTAGTTAGAAATGGCACAAAAGTTGTTGTTGTTTTTTTTACCATAAATTATAATGCCTGTAGGGAATATATTTAGGAGGCAAAGACTTATTTCAATATGGATGATATTGTCTCTTTTTATCCTTTTTTTCCACAAAGTCTACAAAATAGTCAAACTGGTCTAATTTTCTACTTCTAAACTGTTGACTGGATGTAAAAATGCAAAAAGTTTTTATGTATCTTTGAAAAAAATTATCATTCTACATGAAGTGCTTAGAATTCTGAGAATTTTTATGGATTCCTTACAGTTAATTTTATGAGCAAAACATTATCAGAAGTGGCTCCAGTTACAGCACTACACCCACAGCTGTGTTAAGTAGCTCTGGAAGCCTCAGGGAGGTGGGCATTGTGAACACATGAGCAGCAGCAGACACACGGAAAGACTCACTCCATTTGGTCACTAAGTTGTCGTGATTATTTCTGGCAGTGAAATCACCTTCATTCTCTTTCATTGGACTACTGAAAGATCAATTTCAGATCTTACACATGTGTGCGCACGTGCGCGCGCGCGCGCGCGCGCGCGCGCGCGCGCACACACACACACACACACACACACACACAGATTGAGAATCACCACAACATGTGCTATCCCTTTAAAAGTAAGAAAAAAAATCCCAAGACTCACAATAATCACCTTAAGATGTTTTTGAACAGGAGAGCAGTTCATATTCCTTAGATTGCCTGTTTGTCACCATGAATACACAGCAATCTGAAAGACAGGCCAGCTCCTGGACCATCTCTGAACTAAACTCATGCAGTCCCTGATACTCTTTATTGCTTGTTTGTTCTAGGTCTTCTCTAAGAATTGGGGTTTCCATTTTTTAGAAAGCACTTCTACTGGGCAAATGGGAAAGTTGATGCTTAACTTCCTTTGTTTTTGCTTTTGAAACCTGCACTTAGCACTGTGGAGTACAAAATGGAATTACATAAAAGCATTACCTAAAGACAACCACAGAATCTTTTATGTGTTATCAGTAATCTCCTTCCTTTATTAACTTCCTTTATTCATAAGTGTATGCTTTTGATACTGTGACAGAATCCAAAATAAGAATGGTTTAAACATTAAAATTTTATTTCTCCCAATTAAAAGATCCAGATTGGTGTGGTAGCTCTGTTCCATACCATGTTGACCCAGATCCATTGTTGCTATGCCATGTAAGGTTTTTCTGTGGTCTCTATGGGCTGAATGGCTCCCAGGGGTCCCCAGCAGCAGTGAAGGGAAGAACCATGTGGCCCACATGGCATACACATAATTTCAGTTAGATCTCACTGGACACAGCAGGGATCATGGCCACATCTAGTTTTAAGCAAAGCAGTGAAATTCTGGGCAGCAATTTGTTTAGTTAAATCAAATGTTTTACTGTAGAAGGAGACAGAAACAGACTGAAATTATGATTTGCAATTTCTACCACACTGACATATTTTAAATTGTCTCTAATCCCTTTGCATACTTGGCTTTCCTAATAAAACAACTTTTGTTATATAAGAGACTTAGAGGGTAAGAAGCTGAGGTATGAAAATATAATACACAGAAAGTCCCAGAGGAGGGAAAACTTGTTAGCCCTTCTTGTTCTCTAACATTTCCAATTCTAGTTTAGCTTTTTTTTTTTTTTTTTTCAAATTTCTGGGTGGGCTTGCATTCTGTTACACCCCTAATTCAACTCAAATTTGATGCTGTGTGAAGACACAACAGACAATATTCATCTTAAAATTTAGAGACATTATAGGATGAATTGTTCAAAAATTTAGCTGCAAGTCAACGTACAAATGTATTTTAATTTGGAATTAAGGAGAACCAAAAAAGATGGGATGGCTTTTGGCTTTCAGATGGCGTGGTTTATGGTACTTGACTTGCTGTGGATTTGCCTGTGTGGGGAGGTCACCAGGCTCATGAGAAATTTCCAGATCATACACACACACAAAGACATCATTTGATTCCCTGTAAAATATTATGCAAACCTATGTTGTGTCTTACAAGTAAATGGAGACGAAGGAATAAGTTCAAAACTATAGAATTAAGACTTAATTATAAATAAGTCTTTTTCTCTGGAAATATAGCAGGGTAAAAGGATTTATGCTTTAGTGATAAAATTTGCTGTAAATATGAGCCTTCCTAAGAACATGTATTGTTGTTTAAATATATTTTAAATAAACAGAAACAAAATATATGTATTTATTGGGTTTTTTTGTTTGTGATATGGAATAATTACATTTGTTCCGGGGAGTTTGTATATATGATCACAATACAATATCTTGAATGAAAACTATCAAGATATCTATGATATCTTGATAGTTTTTTATACCTTCCCCACAAGAAGCAAATAGATTTATACTTTTATTGTTTAAATATGTTCCCTATTCTGAAACTCTAATTTTTAAGAAAATACTTTGTGTCTTGTCTAGTTAAATATTGTCTTTTTTCTACATGTTTCTTTCTCAAACTTTGGCCTTTTGTGTTTTTTAGCCACATCTAAGTGTCCTATGACTTCTTCTGTCTTAAGAATTTACATTTGCACTTAAATTTGGTCTCAGTCTCATCAGTCATTCCCCTATTGGTTTTTTTCCTTTCCTGTTTTCTCCAGCAGTGTTAAGAATTGAATGAATTATCGCTGATGTAGTTTCGGGGAAGATTTTTGTAACTTAGATTTCTAAACCTTCCTGCTCTAAGTCTCTTCCCCTCCCCTCCTGCCCCAGCTCTCCTCCTCGCTTCTCCTGTCTTCTTTTGTGTGTATGTGTGTGTGTTCTCATGTTGTCTCGATTGAAGATTGAAACCAGGCCTTTACTTAAACTGGGCTATATTCCCAGCCATGATTGATGGATTGATTCTGAAAGTAAGTCCTGCTAAGTTGCCCAGGCTAGTCACAAAATTGCAATCCTTCTGCCTCAGCCTCCCAGAGGAATGAGAATACACATGTGTAGGACCATGGCAGGCTGATTCTCTTACTAGAATAGGATTGTTAGAGTTCTGTAATGGTTCGGGGCTCTGGATTTATAAAAAGCATTTTCATTTTATTTACAGGCAAAGAGTTGCTCTTTTGTCAGTAAGAACACTGCTTCCTGGTATTCCAAACACATCCACAACTGCATACGAGCTAGACTAATGCAATGGTGTGTCTCCTTACAGCAGGATTCTGTCACTAATTACATGAATTTCCATGCATTTGGAAAGGCATGCTTCATGATAACAATGAAAGACACCTTGCTTCAGTATGATAGCATGCAGGGAATGATCTGTCATTTGGGTTTTGAGGTTATTTTAAGTGAAAAATACTTCTATGTTGCTAGTTTAAAAAAAAAAAAAAACCTATCACAAAGGCAGGGAATGAAAGAATTTTCACTTTTCTAGATATGTAACACTAACTTCCAGGTATGACCAGAACCCTAGAAGTGAAATGAAAGCCTGTTGTTTACTTAAGACATTTTGTTTAAATGTCCCTGCCACATGGTCTCTGGGCACTGTTTGTGTAGAACAGCTTTTGTTCACAGCGCGGACAAAAGTTAATACATGGTATGCACAGCTAAACAGGCTCCAGCTTACAATCAGGATCTGTTCCAAAAGTTGATTTGTTTAAAATTCAGAATGTACTTGTCCGTAGAAGCAGTGGTATAAATAAATGACGGTTAGAGAGGCCAAAGTAGCCCACCAAAGTGTATTTAGTGTATAATGTTGCTGGACTTTTACTGTTATGCTCTTTACTCATCCTGGCTGGGGAGAATCTCATGGAGTAAAGGAGTGAAAGGGAGAAAAGATCCTTATCTTCTTCCTTTCAAAGATCTCTTTTCCCTCATTTCTTAACCTTACTTATTTTTGTCCTTTTAGGAAGGGATAGAAAGATTTCAGCCTGGTATCCCCCCCAGACTGAACAATTCCCCAAGTACAACCCTTATCTCCCTGTACCCCTATCTCAGAGTAGAAGCTATTCTTTTGACCTTACATATGCTTTTGTGAAGCTCACTGTGACCCTTTAATCTTAAATATGGTGTTTCTGAGCAATGTGATCCTCCAAATAAGAAATTCTGGTCAGTGTTCGAGAGTGGTGATTAATTCAGCAAAGAGAATGGTATTATGCAATTCGGTCACTATATAAAAAACTTGAATTGGCCTCCAAGGGACGTCTGGAAGTCCCTGAGGAGATTTTGATTGTCATAACCAGCAAGGTGGCTTAACATCCTCTAATTCACAAAACAGCCACACATGGCAGTTAACTAGCGTATGATATTATTGGGGATATCTTGGACAAATACTTTAAGAAATGCAAGATTATGACTCTCCTAATTGTACTGGCTTGACTGACAACTCCAGCAAGGCCTACACTCCAGACATTTGAGTTAGCCCAACTTGTAATCCACATGGATGAAAACTACAGCTTACTGTGTACCAGCAAGATTTTGGGTGTTCGGCAAACAGGGAATGATGTAGACAAAAAGCCCATTCCAATCAAGCCTGTATTCTGCAAATTGCTGGGTGCTATGAAGAACAAAGAAACAAATCAGAGAATCAGGATAAAAGCAACAGTTGGGGAAGAATTGGAATTTTGATGAGTAGGCCAAGAGGTCTAATTCAGAAGGCCCCATTTCTGCAGCATCCATGAGCAATCTATGTGATACTGCAGGAAATGAAATTCCAGGCTAAATATAAGCAGTCACACAGGCCCTAGCATGGGCAGTCTTCTACCACGTAGGCTGTCCCTAAGCTGCTTCCCATGGGAGCTCTGTAGCTCTATTTGGCAGTGAGGGACTTGGCAGAATACTGGGATTTCCTGAAGTTATCTGACTATAGCCTTATGTTGGAATCATGAAGGGAATTAAAAGATGTGCTACATTAACAACACATTGCTTTATAGCTCTTTCCCTTTTTCTATATAAACACTTTGAAAATCTTTGAAAGAATTTTGAAAATCCAAAACCCCAGGTAATATCCATTCAGAGCCATAGTACATTTGGAGGCGGGAGAAATAAGGGGCCCAAAGTGGGGACCTCTGACATGTTCTCTATTGGCTTGTGGTTTGCCTTTTTTGGGTTCCTAGGTCTGGGGTACTCCCAGTCTGGTTTACACTGTTGTAAACAAGTGCATTTGGCACACACTTTGACAGCTGAAAGCAGAACTTCTAAGCTTTATCTCATGAGTCCACTGCAGGCATCTAGTGCACTGCTTAATTAAAGCCCAAGAGAATAGTAGTCAGCGCCTGTGAGCGGTATCTTGCGGGTAGGATGGTACACTCTCTACTCTTTGGTTGCACTAAAGAATGTGAAGCCTTGATCTTCAGAGGAACAATTCTGTCTTTGTTGGAGAGTGACCCATTTCCTCATAGTGGTCTTAAGCACAGAGATTAGAAATTGATGTAGAAAGTGTGACCTGTTCTCGCCATGTTCTGCTTTTCAATCCATTCAGGACACAGTGCTTTACACCTTGCTGCCAAGAATGGCCACCATGAGTGCGTCAGGAGGCTCCTGCAGGTAAAGTGGCAACAACTTAAAATTATGAATGCATCATTCTTAAGATGTCAGGGTGACCTTATCTTCCCCTTCACACACACACACACACACACACACACACACACACACACACACGTACTCTTTTTCATACTATCCCAGAATCTGTGTTTCCTAGGTAGTCTTACTACTGAAATAACAGGGAGAATATTGTTTCCATAGCAATTTCACTGGCAAGAAAAGATTTCTAATCAAAATTATTTTGCTTGAATTTCACATTTATTTATTGATATCAAAGATAACACATATTTACCAAAAAATGTTGCTAAGTAAATGTGGGGGTTTTTTTTGCATTAATCAGAAATTCAGTAAATAAAATTTTCATAATAGAAGGTAAATTGTTAAACTTCCATGTATGTTCATTTCTTGACCAAATATTGGACATAAAACACACATCAAATTTTGAGTATTTGTATTTAATAAAATGCATTAAATTCAGCTTCTATATACCTCTGTAATTCCTGTGGTCCATTCTGTCATATTCTCACATGGACGGCTGTTGCTTAATTGAAACCTCAGTCTTTTGGGTGGGGGGTGGTTAGAGTTGGTTTGGTTTGGTTTCTTTGAGACAGGGTCTTGCTCTGAAATTTAGGCTGGCTTTTAAACTCACTTTGTAGACCAAGCTGCCCTTGAACTCATGGCAATCCTCCTGCCTCAGCCCCCAAGCGCTGAAACCAAAAGTGTACGCCATCATGCCTGGCTTCCCTTAAATCTTAAGTCTCACACCTGGAAAATTCCAAAGCTGAGAATATCATACTTTGGAGGGTTTTTTTAATTTGATTCGGGTTCTTAAAAACACATTTTCATGATGTACTAATAAAAATATTGTTCATATTCATCATTTGTACCTGTGCATAACACATCCTAATTCATTGGCTCTTTGCCCCTCTCCCCCCAGCCCTTTTTTCCTTCATTTGCAAAAGGAATATTTCCATTTCTTCCTTTTTTAAAATGCCTTTTCTCTTTCCTACCATCCCCTCTCCCATCTCTTACACCCTTTCCTATTTGAAAAAGTTCTTTCTACCTCCTAATATCTGTCTTCTATTTCGGTCCTTATCTATACTTTAAGTTTCTCACACAAGAGAAACAGCACGATGTTTAAACTTGTGTGTCTAATCTATTTCACTTTTAAGATTATAGTCTTTAGGTACATCCATTTACCTTTGCTTTGTTTATCCTTTTTTTGTGACAAAGTAGTGCCCCATTATATATAAACACCACATTTTTCTCATCCATTCATCAGTTGGTGGGCATATGGGCTTTTTCCAAGACTTAGGTATTATAAATTGTGTTTCTCCAAACATATATCACTGATGAATGATGACTTTAACTCTTTGGGAAAGATACCTAGAAGGGGACTAGTTGGGTCAAATAAAACCTCTATGTGTAGGTTACTTTTGTCTCATTGCTGGGACAAAACACTTGACACCCAAAATGAAGGAAGGAAATGTTTACTTAGCTTACAGTTTGTGGAGGTTTCAGTCCATAATCAGTTGGTTCCAAGGCAGGTTGGCATGGCACTGGGACAACACTTCAAGGCAGCAGCTAGCAAAAGCAGCCAGAGAAAAAAAAAGAAAACAAGCCTCTTCTCCTTCATTATAGTATAGGTAGGCCATCCCCCAGCCTTCAGGGCAGATGTAGCACTCACAAAATCTTTTTTTCCCTTCTTTGCAAAGTAAAAACTTTGGCTCCCTATTGAGTCTCTCGGTTAAACTTCTAAATTTCTCAAGTAGACACAATGTATCAACCATAACAACCCAGTTGTGGTTTTTTGAGGAACTCCACACTGCTTTCCACAGTGGTGGCACCAGTCTACCCTCCTACCAGCAATAGAGCAGAACTCCTTTTTCCCCCACAGCCTTGCCAGCATTTCTTATTATTGGCTGATTTCTTGATAATGGACACTTTTTCTTCAGTGAGATGGAATCTCAGTGTTGTTTCAATTAGCATTTCCTGCATGGTGAGTGATTGAACATTTTTCCATGTATTTACTAGCCATTTGTACTTCTAGTACAAATGGCTAGTAAATACATGGAAAAATATATTTACTTCTTCATCTAAGAAGTATCTGTTCATTTCAGATGCCCATTTTTGGATTGGGTCTTTAAATCTGGGACTCTATTGAGTTCTTTGTATATTTTAGATATTCTCTTAGAAGTAGCTGGTAAAACTTTTTCCTGTTTTCGTCATTCTTTTGGTCATCTAATCAAAATTTGGAGTATCTTCCAGGGATCAGTCTTTTCCTTCCCTTTATTCAGGCCCTCTTTTTCTTTCCTAGAGGATTTATATCCTCTACATAATCAGTTTTTACAAAATCTCTTTTGAAACTGCTGAAAATTCTTCCATACCGAATCTCCTAATGTCCTGGTATTCACTCCATAAATCATGAATAGAATGTACCTCTTCTTTTAAAAATTTTTTTTCAACTTTTATTGAGAAAAAAAATTTCAAACATTACTTTCTTGCATATAACTTGATGAGTTTTTAGTCTTGGGTTCCTGCTTCAGTGTTTAGTTTTATTCTGCCTTATAATTTTAAGCCAATTCTCTGGTTTAATGACCTTGCCAGGAAGTTTATAATGATCTCTTAAGGTGATGACTTCCATAAATCTGTACAGATACATACTTAATGAACCCCAATAGCAGTCTATACAATAATGTCCAGCTGTTGCGGTCAAAATGCAAGCTGGCTATTTTCAGGAACAGCATAGAGCAATAAAAGATGTGTTTGGAGTACTGTCTGGTCTGTCAAGCTTTTGTTTTGGCCATCGTATGCACTGTTCCAGACTCAGCATCTTGCTTTAATTGGTCTTTGAAGCTCTAATGTAGAAATGTGGTCACATTCTTCAACTTGTCTAGTTCTGCAGATCATACAACCACTTTTCTTATTTTACATGATGCATGCTACTGCCAATTTCAGGAATGTTTGACCTTAATGGACCTTTGAAGCGAAATTCAAGAAAAATTACAATGTCTGTAATGTTTTATTATGAGAACATTTAAAATTTTTTCTTTCCCTGCCTCTTCTGTGACCAGAGACTCTGGACAAATGAAAAGCATTCACTTGCCCAGCTGCCCTGCATCTATACCCTTGGCCCTACTTCAGTTTCTGGGGTTTTTTGGTATTTTTTAAAAAATGTTTTTAAATGTGTTTTAAATCCCCGTTCCCTTCCTGGCTTGGCTAGCCAGACCTTGCATCTGGCTCTGATTTTAAGGAAGATTTAACCTGACAAGCTAGAAGTCCTTGTGGGCTAGAACCAGATATTCTAGCCTCTATTGTAATTTTATATCTGCTTATGCAAATGGGTTGGGTTTTCTCTGGAATCTTTGAAGCCTTTAAACAGTTTCCTTGTGCTGTTCTAAAATTAGGCCAAAGCTTGGTAAGAGGTAACTTGATCTCCATTCTTCTTAACACCAGTGGGCAGAAATTTCACCCTAAGGTGGCCTGTTTTTTACCTCTTCCAACTTGGAAAGTCCTTACCGTTGTTCTTTCCGATAGCTTTTGGGTCCTCCCGCTGGGTTGCTGTCATTAGGGCCTCTATCTGTCTTATTAGTTCTTCACCTCTTGTCATTGCAACCCAGGCTGTCTGTGATTTGACTCAGAAACTTGTAGTTTGCTAGTGACCTTGACTAGGGCCATTGCCACAGAATCTCCAGAGAATGAGGGCAGACATCCAAGTGCAGTGGCTTTAGGAGTGATTGAGAAGAAAAGAAGGACAGAGAATTAGGCCAGAAATTAGGGGGAAAGGAGAAGATTAAGACGAGAGATTCTTGCACATGTTTGTTAGCTGGGGGGATGATCCAGTGACAATGGGATGAAGTACAAGAGGAACCGACAGTCAGAGTAGCAAAGGAATTACTGTTTGCCTGTCATTCTGTAGAGATGAGTCTCCTCCCTCCAGAAAGCACTATAGGCCCCTGGAGCACAGCAGCTTATTTGTGTTCTTAACTTTCCTAATATGTCATGTTGTACCTGGCATGAAAAGGACACACTGAACAGAATGTGTACATAAAATACATGAAATTTATTTTTGTTTTCTAGTCTAAATGCCCAGCCGAAGGTATTGACAGCACTGGGAAAACAGCTTTACATTATGCAGGTAACTTTCATTCTCCTCTTTTACTTCTTTCCATTCAGGCCATTGCCTTTATTATACTATGGGAGCTCTTTTTGGCATTCATTCCTCTGTTTTACTGAGTTTATAAAACATGTAGTGTTATCAAAGAGTATACCAAAATTCACCATTTGTCTATCATACAACCTGTAAAACTATCATGGTGAATATATTTTAATTAAGGCTGCAGCTAGAGATCAGTGATAAAGAGTACAGAATGCCACAGGTTAAATTTCCAGCACCATATAAGTAAATACAGTTAAAAATATATTTTAAGTAAATATATACCTGTAGCTATCTATTCCAGTTCCTTTGAAAAGCAATAGACTGTTGTAAGCACTTGCAGATTTCCGGTAATATGTGAAAAAGATTTTTTTGATTTGAGGGTTAGTACAAATATCAATTGGTTTTATTTATCAGTGTTTTGTTTTACTGTCACCAAAACTTCAAGTGATACTGACATTGAACTCTCAGGACACTGGATTTAAAAATGTTGTGGATTGCTAGTTATAGAAAAATCCAGTCCGGTGAAAAGCTAAACCAAACATTGCCTGGCAGGTAGTGGCTTTAAGGCAGGATAACTGAAAATTAAACAGTAATTGCCAACACCTCTGTGCAGTTTGAATGAACATGTGCTGACTGGGTAGAGCATGATCTTTTCCTTGCTAGAAGTGTCTGGAGTCCTGGCTGTGGGAGTAGCTTTGTGATTGGCTGAGGTGTTTGTATTTTCCTTCCTGTAGCAACGCAGGGCTGCCTTCAAACTGTGAAGGTCCTCTGTGAGCACAAGACCCCTGTAAACCTCAAGGATTTGGTAAGTACCACGTCATTCAAAGTGGAAATTGACACTGAATTCTACAGCATTGCAGGATACCTCTGAGAGTCATTGAAACTTTAGAATCTTAAGTATCTGGCAGAATTCTATTTGCTTTCCAACTAGATTCTTTTCTACAAAATGGTTTTATGTATTATTTCTTCGTGCTCCTTTTGATTAACAAAACATTTTATAACTTGCAAATGTATATATTGTCATTAACCTAAGTATGAATAAAGCTTATTTTTTTGATTTGTAAAAGATATTTAAATAGAAGATTATTATTTTTTCTTGCTTATCCCATGTATCACCTTGGGTACTTTCTGATTAGAATTTTGCAACTTTGAAGACCACTTTTAGCCTACTTTAACTTCCCTAGGCTGTTTGGAAAATAAATGTATCTATTGCACATGGCTGTAGAGTTAAATGTCAGAAGTAGCATGAGACTTGACATAATACATACTTGTACCTGATACAGATACCATGAAGTAACTTGGCAGTCTGTAAATAAATACTCTCTAATTAAAAGTCTTAATACAGGTTAAATATTGCTAATCCAAAAATTAAACTTTGAGCACCAATATATTACCCCAAGTGGAAAATTTCACACCATAATTCCATACACAAATATTTAAAATATTGTGTAATTACTTAAGCTGATTACAAATTAACTTCCTTAGATTTGAATTCTATACTCATTATATCTAATTACTTATATGCAAATATTCCAAAATCCAATAAAGTCCAGAATCTGAAACACTTTTGGCATTTTGGATAAATAACATTCAACCTGTACCTCCTAATGAGAAAGTATTATAACTTTACAGTGATGATACATAGAAATCTGAAATTATACCATGACACTTAATCTCTCATAGCAATTATATTATTTAAATACTCATTTTTGAGTAGTTCAATATATTATAACTTTTCTTTTTGTCTATTTGAATGTTTCTAACTTAAAAATTACTGTTGATTGATTTGTGGGTTATGTTCCAAAACAAACCAACTAGCAGAATAATAGGTCTCCTTCATGGTTTGTGCCATTTGTATTAGGTCTCCCTCACCCTGGGTTATAGAAACACCTATATAGTCTTCTAGTATTTTTCTCTCTTGTAATACTGTAATGTTTAAATTCTTACTCCATCTGATGGAGCTTACATGAGTTGGGAATCTAATTTTCTTTTTCCCAAAGGGTTTGACAGTTGTCATGGTATATTAAATAAATAGTACATCATATCCATTTCTTTATCTTGTATAGACAAATAGGCTGTTAATTTACCTTTGATACTACTAGGCAAATACTCTTAACTTCTGTTAGGTGAGGTTACCTAGAAAGCCAGTGAAAGGATACAGTTTCCGGGAAGACCAGTGGAAGGGCAGGAAATAGTTCACTGGTAAGAAGCTGCTTAACACGTGGTAGGTCCTTCCAGTACCACATTGAGATAAGCCTTCACTTCTGTAGAGTGGCTCCTGAATACCTATGGATACCTGTCCTTATAATGCTGTTTGTGTTTCACCGTCTCGCAAGTGATTACTAAGACAGTAACAGCTAAGAGAACAAGCAGTCCAAGAGGCTGAGGCTTCTAGGAAACAGTCAGTGAAATTCTTTCAGTTGTGCTTGAGAAGGGCAGAAGATACCATGCTGGATCAAATAGTAGACCAGCAGTATAAGTCAGGGGGAAATAATGTACAAAGAACAAGGTCTGCATTTCTGGCAATTGATGTTAGATTTAAGATCTAAACCTGATTTTGTCTCTTAGGATGGGAATATACCACTGCTTCTTGCAGTACAAAATGGCCATTGTGAAGTCTGTTGCTTTCTTCTGGATCACGGAGCAGATGTCAATTCCAGGGACAAAAATGGAAGGTACTGCACAATTATGCAAAACTTGACTAACTTTAGCAATACTCACATTCTAAGTCTTATAAACACATTGTTTATAAGTTTAGTTTCTTGTATGTGTAATTTCTTGTTTTTTGGGTGATCTCCTAAAAAGTGGTTTTGACTTCCTTTTCAATTTTCTACCTTTTAATGTTCAATTTAACAGCAGATTTCCCCAGACTTTGCTGTGACTGTGATGAAACTATTAAATGTTACAGTGAATAAGCCAATTCCTGTGACTTCATGCAGAGTAAACGTTGATTACTTTCTTAAAAATGGTCTTAAAATACAGACATTTTGTTTTGTTGGCTCTGAAGAATACAATGAAAGGACAGGTTTTGTGCCAGTCATTTTAAATTTGTTTGTTTTGAAATATTATAGATTGTCTGTGTTGTTTGACTATATATGATTTAATTTGAAGTTTTAAAAACTACCACCTAATTTCAACTTAATAGTATTCCATTTCAGATTCCCCAGAAGGTTAAATGTAATAAAGGTGTAACCTCTCTTAAGCTTCATTTTCATTGTGTTTTTAGGACAACTGATTTCCCAGTATAAAGAGTTTTCACATTTAGTTAGTACTAATTTTGTATCTTCTTCTTTAGAACTGTTCTTATGCTGGCTTGTGAGACTGGCAATTCTAACATCGTGGAAGCCTTAATTAAAAAGGGTGCGGATCCAAACCTTGTAGATTCCCTTGGACACAATGCCTTACATTATTCGAAACTCTCAGAAAATGCAGGAATTCAAAGCCTTCTCTTATCAAAAATCTCTCAGGATGCTGGTATGTGAAAGAAAATAGCCAATGTTATTTTAAGTTTATCCACTTCATTTTCCCCAAAGGATAAAAGAATTTGTGTAACATGATAAATTTATTATTCTTTGATAAAAAACTGAAGTGTTAAATGTTTTGTGTGACGTGTATATCTGTGTCTTTGTATCCACCCAAAGTGGATATAATATGGGTCACTGTGATTCTTACAGTTCTTTTTTTCACTCTTTTCTTCCTAGATTTAAAGACCCCAACAAAACCAAAGCAGGTATTTATCTTTGGGTAGGGGTAGCCATGGATTTTTTTTTTTTTTCATTTTTGCTTGTGGGAATTTTAAAATATTTTGATTAAACTCTGATTGACTAGAAAAATCATAACAGAGTACACTGAAAATACTTAAGTATTGAAATATCTTTGGGATAAATGATTCATTGTTATGAGGTGGTGAATGTTTTCATAGTGATTTACTTTATTTCAAAAGCGTGTAACATTAAACTTCATCTTTTCTGAAAACATACTGATAGTTCTACTGGTGTAAAAATGTTTGATGTGATTTAAAATGAGACCAAATAACAGTTTTTGTAAATATTGTAATTATCACAAAGACTATAGACCTATGGCCATGAAAATGCCAAATATGAAAGGAAAATAAGAAATTGAGCTTTTTACTTTAGGTGAGAATTTTCTAAATGTCATTCTGTGTTATCCAAAGAATAAATTGAGATGTTTGTTTTGTTTATTTGGAGTTTTTCCTAAGTGCATATTACTATTTTTTTTGGGGGGGGGGCTTGGCTGTTCTATTTATTTATACACCAAAGTTCTAGAAGAAGTCATAATTAACAGATAATACTGAATTTATTATATGCTAACTTTATTACTTACTTATCAATAACCTTCAGGGATGAGATTCCTCCTTTCATTCATAGTAACATTCTTTAAAGAAAACAAATGGAGGTAATATAGGTTCAGGAAATGCTACGCTTTACATTAAGATAGAAAGATAACTATATAACTGTGCTGTAGTTTCTTAGTTATGGTAGACAACTCCTCACCCTCTACTTTCCCAGTTCTCCAGCTTAATCTGGTTTTGTCATGTTTTTTTAAAATTTCTTACTATGAAAGCATGGGCTGGTAGGAAAAAATTTGGAGCATGCATATTATTTATTTTTATGTTAGCAGATTTCAAATCTCAGTGAAGTAAAAAATGCATGGATTGTTGAGGTTTTTTTCTCATTTGTTTGATGCAGCTACTTGCTCAGACTTTACTAACCTAACTAACCCACCTCCATTCTTTGGACTGTGATAACTTTCAGCATGAACAAGTCTCTAAAATAAGCTCAGAAAGAAGTGGAACTCCAAAAAAACGCAAAGCTCCACCACCTCCTATCAGTCCTACCCAGGTAAAAACAAGCAAACCAAAAATCAACAAGCATATACCAGAAAAACCATGATTTTATCATTTTGGGTTTACATCAAAAAGAAATATTTTAGAACTGACCATGAAGTGCACATTATAAATTTTCTTTTGTGGTTTGAAATTACAAATTGTGGGGCTGGGTCTATAGCTCAGTGGTAGAATGCTTGCCTGATGTGCATCAGAGCCTGGTTTGATCCCCATCATAAAAAAAGGAAAAAAGCAAAAGTAGTGATTGAAAACTAGTAAGACAAATTTTGATTATTAGTATGAAAAAAATGTTGATTTTTATTTATTTCAAAACTATAGAGTTGAACAGTTTCTTTTTTGAAAACACATCAAGGAGGTTTCTTAATCTTATGATGGAAACTTTTCTGTTAAGATAATTAGCTTAGTGTGTTTCTAATTCCTTTATTAACAATATCAATAAGAGATAGGGAAATGAATGGTTTGAAACCACAAAGGCAATTAGACAAAAAAGAATTTTAGTTGGTCTCTGAAAATATTGTTAAATATATTTGCCTTTCAAATTATATTTTTGGTTGTCTAATATTATAAGTAGTTTTTAGTTCTGAGCTTATGACTACCTCAGAGAGGAGCCCAGAAATCTGTGAAATGGCAAATAAAAACATATTGAGATAGAGTAGTGTGTCGTCTGATAAGTAATTTGAAATAATTAACATATTCATTAACACACACTCAACCTGTAGTAAAAGTCTTACAGATCTTTAAAATTGATTTTTGCTAATAGCAGAATAAAGTTTACTCTATAAACTTTCAGAAAGTATTTGAAATAGCTAAATTGGCTAAAAAATTTACACTTGAGTTAACCGAAGCTAAGGATATACACTGTAAGATTTAACTACATCAGCTGAATGGACTAATTCTTCAACACTGCCCCAAAAAGATTTTGAAAACACATTCTTTACTGATGGTTTTCATTTTGTTTTTTCAGTTGAGTGATGTATCTTCCCCAAGATCAATAACTTCAACACCACTTTCGGGAAAGGAATCACTATTTTTTGCTGACCCACCCTTTAAGGTACTTACTTTCTGTATTCAATTTTGTTACTGCTTTTAAAGATACATGGTAGACTTCCTATAAAGTAGATAACAGTGGTCAAAACAATATACTCTGAATGCTTGGTTCACAACTTTTCACCATGAAGGACTCTTCTGGTGTGGATACCATAAATACAAGACTGGAGAGAATAAATTAATTTACTAACCAATAATTTCTTTTAAATAGGGACAAAACGCATTGATGTAGAATCTAAAAAAATTAAACTTACAGAAGCAGAGAGTAGAATGGAGGTTCTGAGTACCGAGGGAAGTAGGGAATTTTGGGGATGTGTTGAGCAAAAGTGGTATTTCAGTTTGACGGGAGGAATAAATTTACAAGATCAGTTTACAACGTGGTGATTGTAGTTAATACCAATGTATTGTATTATTGAAAACTGCTAACAGTAGATTTTTAAGTAGTGCCACAAACCTGATCATTTGAGATGATGCATGTTTACGAGCTCATGTATTTCAAAAGTGAATGAATGATAGGGTGGTAGATCATATTGATCCTGAGATAGAAAAAGGACATTGACAGAAAAACTAATATAATCAGAGTAAAGCCTATAATTTATCAGTATTCATGTCTTCATTTTGACTGATGCCTCATTACAATGTAAGTCAAGATTAGGAGAAACTATGTTACTATTTTAAAAGTTTTTATAAACTTAATATTGCTCCAGAGACTAAATTAGAAAAAATAAAAATTTTTCTAGAGACAGAGATAATTTACCTGAATTTTAGAAAATCAATCAGGTCTTATTCTACTTTGCTCTGTAAATTTGTAGATGGCAAATATTTTAAGGAAATTCAAGAACAATCTACAAGGAAACCGTACTTGGGATGAAATAAAACTTGTAATTGTTAAAATGAAGTTCAGTTTTTATAACTGTATATTTACTTGCCTCCATCTCAGAATTACTAAATTTTTTTTTGGTAAAAACTTGGATGTACATTGATGTGAAATGATCTATCACCCTATCATTCATTCACTTTAACTTGACTTTATTAATAAACTCAGGGTGAATACCTATAAAAGACAAGGCAAGGAAATTAGTCTTTCATAATTAGTTTCCTAATATCTAAATATGACTGTGGCTTAGAAGAAGCAGTATGTTCCAAAGAAAAATATCACAAAATGTGATTTTTAAGAATATAAAAGAATATAACTTCTAAACAAATAAGATAAAAAATAATATATATTTAAAATAGCTAAGCATTAAAAAAGTAAATATACCAAGTGTTAGTGAGAATGTGGAAGAATTAGACCATTTATATTCTTTTGGTGAAACTGTAAAATGGTATAACTACTTTGGAAATTTATTTGGTTAGTATCTTTAAAATCTAAACATTATAGAGACAGGTAATGTATGCCTTTAATCCCAGTACTCTTGGAAGCTGAAGCAAGAGGACTGTATGTTTAAGCCCAGCCTGGGCAATTTAGCAACTTAAGAAGAGCTTCTCTCAAAATTAATTAAAGGGCTGGAGATGTTGCTTACTATAAGACCCTGGGTTTAATCCCTAGTGCCCCTCCCTATCTTACCTAATTAATATATGATCACCCACCCACTTATAGATGTTTCTTCAAGAGGAATGAAAATATATGTTTATACAATAATTTTATACGTGATGTTCATAACAGATTCATTTACCATTTTCCTAAGCTGGAAAAAACTCAACGTTCAGTAAGTACATGGATAAATATAAGAGATACTCATATAATGAAATAGTACTCAACAATAAAACAGAGTTAACCGTGGTGCAAGCAACATCATAGATGAATTTGAAAATCATCATGCTGAATGAAGAAAGCCAACCACAAAAGTATCCATGCAGTATGACATTCCATTTTTGGTAATCTTAGGGAATGCAAAATGGAGAATCATGGCTGTCTGGAAATGGAGTGCGGGGGGGGGGGTTAGCTGTGATGAGGCGTGAGGAAACCTTCAGGGGTAACGGAAATATTGACATCTTGATGATAGTGGTGGTTCCATGGGTGTACAACTGTCGGAACCTACTCAAACTATAAACTTCAAGGGGATGTCATTTATTGTACCATGAAAAACTAAGGACATTTTTCTAAAATGGAAAGAACAGATTTTTTTAAAGACACGCGTTTGTCAAAAATAAGCCACTTGATTTTGAACATTTGGACTTTTACAAAAGTCTTTTTGCTGAAAAATGATCTCTCTTATCATCTATGCCTCATCTAGATGAAATACAGTAATATCTTGAAAGTAACATTTTGAAATATGATTCTTAAAATGAGTCTGTCTTTGAAGTTTAAGAACTTTTCCAATACATTAATATATTCAGGAACAGGAGATTAAAAGACATCTTTAGGAGATCAGTTACCAATCCAAGGCCATACAAATTTTTCTTCCCCTCTAAAATTACCCTTTTATTCCTTGACAAGTGTTATTTGTTACCCATGTATGATCCAGATAAGTAAAATTCTTTGATATGCAGAATTTAGAAATATTAAATGTATGACCCAAGTAAGTAAGATCATTGTGAAAGTAATCTTTCCACCTCAGGTTTAGAACATAGCCCTGTAAATGAGCTGTTATATATAATTATAAATATATTTTTGTCCCACTCACTAAATGAAATTTCTGAAAAACATTTTGAGAATATACCGTCTAGAGTCTACCTTAGATGATAAACTGTCACTTTTATTCACTTAAAATATTTTCCCTTTTTTTAGAGCTACCTGTTTTTCTGGTAAAATAATGCCAACTTTGCTCTCTCAAAGAAAGAATTGATTCTTTTGCACAATGCTATACTTAGGAATACTTTTTTAAAGTCATTTTTGTGTTTCTGCAGGCTGAGATTAGTTCTATACGAGAAAACAAAGACAGACTAAGTGACAGTACTACAGGTAAGATAAAAGCCTGTCTGTTTTTTGTTCCTTGGACCAAACTTTCTTTGTTCCATATCCCCTTAAGGAGAGCAAGGCCACACTGTACAGGGAAGGCATGAGAATGAGCCTGTTATCACACAGCCGCCAATTTAAACAATCTGAGTTTTGATATAAACAATGTAATTTTTGTTTTAAAAAAGCACTACCATTTTCTTCAATTACGGACAATAAATTCCACTGGTAAGAGCAGTCATATGACTTAGTCATGAGAAGAGTTCACAATGCCCTATCACTTTACTGTTGCAAACACTGGTATGTTGAATATCCACTAAGAATTTTGGCAGTTATTAGACCTGCTTCTGCATCTTGTTATTTGGTGTATTACAAAATAAGCATTTAGATCACCATACCCTATTAATTTTACCTTACACATTTAAAAAAGACATTCTGAGATGTGGTCCATAAGTTTTTGGATGCTGGTTATCAGCATCTTGCACTCACTGCAGCTGAGCAGCAAGTTCTGTCTTGAAGAGAGAAGGAGCCATGCCCCTCCGGGACTGCCACAGTCTGACTTTACCACTTTAGGATGTAAGCAGACTCAGGCAAAAACATAGGAATAATGAAAGCACACTGAATCATATTGTCTGTGCCAGGATAGAGTTTAATTCGTTGTATCTTTTTTAAATGCATTTTATCTTTTAAGTCTCTCCTAAAGGAGAAAAAAATTCCTACAGATTCATTTTATCTATGATAATGTAGCACAGCATCTTCAGAATTAATGTAGCATATACAGTATATGATTTCAAAAGCCCTGTTTTGTTTCAACATTCAGTTTCTTAAAGTAGTGTGCATCTCATTTGTGTTTGGAGCCTTTGATCTGCACAATCTAGAAATATTTCACTTTCTAATGGCTGACTGAGATTAGTAAATATAAATGAGCAAACATTACATTGGATAATTTAAGAACTATTAGTTGTATCTGTGAAGTAATTTTATATTACTTAGAATTGCAATAACGATCCCAGTAACATAGCTCTTTCTGCCAGAAAGAAAGCTGTTAGTAAGGAGACTTAGCATCAGATGTCAGAACAATGCCCTATTTTCAGAAGCTTTTCTATGAAGAAACGTTAATTTTGAGCTGTTCAATTTAAGGTCCAAACCTTCATCTCTGCATTAAGTGATTGTAAGAAAATGAAAACTATAAGGAAAAAAAAAAAAAAACTAGTACCAGTCAGCAATAATTAAGGACTTTGGAACGACTATGTCTTTGCACACAGTTTTGTTCAGCTGATATTTTTCATAAGAAGACTCTGGATGAATTAAATTCAGAAGCAAATTTTCTCACTTGAGTGAGCAATTAAGAATAGCATAGCATTGCTTTAGATGCTATTTCAGCATCATAATCAATAGTATGTTTTTTAAAATTGCAGTTTATCAACAGCAATTACAGTGAGAATCAAAGGAGAGAAGATCACTTCATACTAGGGCAGTCAGTGAATGCTGTAAGGAGGAGGCAGAGTTGGACATGGGCCTCGAAGGGTGCCTAAGAGTTATCTAGGTAGAGAGATGCTGTAAGGGCAATTCTGAGGCTAAATAATTAATCAATCACATGTTAAGAATAAAGAAGATATGATGAGATCCATGAATCTGAGAAAAGTGTAAATCTATTAAACAATGAGATATAAACCTGAAAATGAAAACTGGGACCAAACATAGAGGAATTCAGAAATAATTTTTAGAGGCAGAACAATTTGAGCACTTGACCAACAGAATGTCCCAAAGCATCAAATTATCTTTTAGGAAAGTTAGTCTAATGTTGCTACAGAGGCTATATTTTCACTTAGAAGAGGGGCAGAGATTTGTTGGGAAGCAGTTTGCAGGATTTTCAAGGGAAGGTGATTAAGTCTGAACTGTATTAACAATGGTAGAGATAAAAAATAAACCAGATTCCACAGATATTTTAAAAACTTCTTAGAACTGTTACTTAAGAGACATTGAGAGAAAGGAAAAATCACCCAACATGTAACAAGTGAAAGTGTATTGCCAGACCCATCAGTTTTCAGGATCAGCTTTGATGCTCTAGCATTATGCCAGGAATATCACAGTGAGGCCCCATCAGAAACTGAAAGTTGCTGTTCCTTGTTGGTGGAGGGTTTCATAGTCAGGACTAGGAAGAACTGGATTCAGCCAGAAAGTGAGTTCGTTAGAGGATAAAAAAATAACCATTTAAAAAAATACTTAAATTGCCTTTTTCTTTTTCCAGGTGGTGATAGTTTATTGGATATAAGTTCTGAAGCTGATCAACAAGATCTTTTTGCCCTACTGCAAGCAAAAGTGGCTTCCCTTACCTTACACAATAAAGAGTTACAAGATAAATTACAAGTAGGTAAACAGATTGCCATCACAGATTATTTTGTGGAGTGAAGCTATTGGCATTTTTAAGAGTAGTCGTGTACTTTGTTTTAAATACATACATTTCTTCCTTTTTTAAAAAAGTTAGCTTTAAGCATCTTATGTTTTCACATTATTTTGTTCCGTGAGAGTAGTTTTCATTGACTGTACATAAATTGGCAAGTTACATATAATTGCATATATTATGGAATACATGGCAATCATATATATTATTAAGATTTAAATATAGATTGTTAACAAAATTTACATGAATAAAACATTCATTTAAATATATGCATGCACATACATATGATAATTTATATATACAGAATTTTAATTTAAATTTTTATATATGTAAAATTTTTTGAGATGAGAGCATCCCTAAATTGCTCAGCCTGACCTTGAACTCATGATCCCCCTTCCTTGGCTTCCTGAGCAGGTGAGGTTATAGGTGTATGCCTATACATCCTGATATATTAAAATTTTTGTACTTAAAAATGTAAATATCTCAATACATGTATCATATTAATCATTCCTTTGATAAAGCTGACCATGTGTATTACAAACTTGATAAGAAATAACTATAGTATGCCCATCCCCAACAATTAGAATATGAGAAACAGGAAGAATTTGAATCAGAGGGTTTTCAGACAAAACAATTCCAATGTTTTTAAAATGACACAAATAATATGTCTTCATAGAACACATACTGCTTTTTTGTGTCATTAATCCAACGCTCATGTTCCAGTCTGTATTTTTTTAACCCTGAAAGAATATACATAGGAGCTGGGCATGTCTGTAATTCCAGCATTCTCTGGGCAGAGCCAGGAGTGGGATCTCTGTGAGCTCAAGACCAGCCTAGGCTACACTGTGAGACTGTCTCAGAAAAAACAAGCAAACAGACAAAAACAAAACTACAACAAAACAAAGCCCCAAACAAACAAAAAACCCAAATAAAATAATATCTGTATAAAATGATCATGCTGGTCTTCTGTCCTTAATTTCAGATTTGTTCCTTTTTTACCAGTTAGTTGCTTACTTAAGCACACCTTTGATGCCATTTAATTCTTGCTTTGTTCTTTTTAGGCCAAATCACTGAAGGATGCAGAAAGAGATCTAGGTATTGGCTCTTTCCATTCTACTCAGTCTGATTTGGTTCCTTCCCTGGGCAAACCTAGTGATGCTGATCCCCCAGACTCCAAATCATCTCCACTTGGTATAACACATTCTTCAGGGAAATCTACTGTAGACAGCAATATTAGAATTCAGCAACTACAAGAGAGTTTGCAAGATTTGCAGAAGAGATTAGAGAGCTCTGAGACAGAGAGGAAGCAGCTACAGACCGAGCTCCAAACCCGAAGGACAGAATTGGTATGCTTGGACAACACAGAGATTTCAGACAATGGCTCTGACCTCAGTCAGAAACTTAAAGAAACTCAGAGCAAGTATGAGGCAGCCATGAAAGAAGTTCTTAGTGTTCAGAAGCAGATGAAACTGGGTCTTCTATCACAGGAGAGTACGGATAACTATTCATGTCTCCATGAGCTGAGGGTCCCTGATGAGAAAATAGATGTGCTAAAGCGAGATCTGCAGAGTGCATTAGAAGAAAGTGAAAGAAATAAAGAGAGAATAAGAGAGCTAGAGGAGAAACTTGTGGAAAGAGAGAAAGATGCAGTGATTAAGCCACCTGCCGAAGAGTATGAGGAAATGAAAAGTTCATATTGCTCTGTTATTGAGAATATGAATAAGGAGAAAGTGTTTTTGTTTGAGAAATACCAAGAGGCCCAAGAAGAAATAGTGAAATTGAAAGATTCACTAAAAAACCAGACAACACAAGAAGTTAGTGATGAGGCTGAGGACATGAAAGAGACCATGAATAGGATGATAGATGAACTTAATAAACAGGTGAGTGAGCTGTCGCAGCTGTACAAAGAAGCCCAGGCTGAGCTGGAAGATTATAGGAAGAGGAAGTCTGTAGAGGATGTAACAGCTGAATATATTCACAAAGCAGAGCATGAGAAACTTATGCAAGTGTCAAATGTATCCCGGGCTAAAGCAGAAGAGGCACTCTCTGAAATGAAGGCTCAGTATTCCAAAGTGTTGAATGAGTTGACCCAGCTCAAACAACTGGTAGATACACAGAAAGAGAATTTTGTGTCTATCACGGAACATTTGCAAGTGATAACCACTCTGCGGACAACTTCGAAAGAGATGGAAGAAACCATAGGCAGTCTCAAGGAGCACCTTGCAAGCAAGGAAGTGGAAGTGGCAAAGCTGGAGAAGCAACTTCTAGAGGAAAAAGCTGCCATGACCGATGCAATGGTACCCCGGTCTTCCTATGAAAAGCTCCAATCGTCTTTAGAGAGTGAAGTGAGTGTGCTAACATTGAAGCTAAAGGATTCCCTAAAAGAGAAAGAGAAAGTCCATTCAGAGTTTGCCCATGTCCGAAGTGAAGTCTCACAGGTGAAAAAGGAAAAGGAAAACATTCAGACTCTCTTGAAATCCAAAGAGGAAGAAGTAAATGAACTTCTGCAAAAATTCCAGCAAGCTCAGGAAGAAATTGCAGAAATGAAAAGATATTCTGAGAGCTCTTCAAAAATGGAGGAGGATAAAGATAAAAAGGTTGGTACTACTCTGTTTTTGTTGGGTTTCTAGCAAAAAGTCCCAGGCCCTTCAACCTTTACTATATTAAACATATGTAGGATTTTATAACTACTTTTTTTCCCCTTTTGGTACTGGATCCCTTCATGATCTTACACTTGTCAGGCAGGCGCTTTTATCACTGAGCTGAATCCCCAGCCCAAACATATGTAGGATTTTGGGGGGCACTAAACCAATGTGAATGCTTAGAGGCTCTGTATGTGACTATATCTGTCCCCATAAAGAGTAATACATTGGACACTGCTTTTGATAAAGCACTTGTCTTCATCTACTTCTCTTTATGCTAAAGTTTTCATGTGTGTGATGCATATTTACCCTTTAAAAATCATCTTCTAGAAGGTCTGACAGTGTTTAGTGAAAGTGTCTGAAAAGTGTGAGCGAGCTTGAACTTCAGTTCCTATTTTTGGATGGACTGCAGCATGTCAAACACTTATTGGAATAGATTCCTCCATCATATAGAAACCAGATACTCCCTGATTTATTCTTGCTTGCCAAAGCTCCATGGGGCTTCTCACCTCCAAGTCAGTGGATCTAGTACAGAGAAAGGAGGAAGCAAGGCCTTAAGTTCAGGATAGTTTTCACCTCAGTCTATTGTGTGCCCTAGTCCTCTGTGACACAAGTTTTGAATGGTATTAAAGCACAATTGTTCACTATTTGGTGATTGATGACTATGAATATTTCAGAAAGGCTTCAAAAGTCCCTGGTGGGGTGGATAGGGAATTGTGGCATAAGTTGGGAGTTACTGACTGTCTTTGTCAATAATCCTGGATGAGACATAGTTCTTTCCAAATACAAAATGTCTCTTAATTATTCTTCTTTTAGTCACATCCCTTTTAAGGGTAAAAGAAAGTCAACATCTCTCATGCACCAAAACATCCTATTTAATTCATGGGCCATTATCTGAGTGGAATAGATGAAGAGAACTTAGTTGGTTTGCTTTATTCTGTTATCTTGCATTCTATGGGCTTTCTTCAAAGAATAGAAACTAAAAGGAATTCAAGTCCCAGAGAACTATGTTGGAGGTGCATAAATTATGCCATTTTGCTTCTCTAAGGACATTATTACCTATTTGATATGGTTTTCCTTTCTTACTAGATAAACGAGATGTCAAAGGAAGTCATCAAATTGAAGGAGGCCCTGAACAGCCTCTCACAGCTCTCCTACTCAACAAGCTCATCCAAAAGACAGAGTCAGCAACTGGAAGTGCTGCAGCAGCAGGTCAAACAGCTACAGAACCAGCTGGCTGTGAGTGGAATCTTCCTGTTGCCTGATTTGGGGTGGAGGACTAGGCAAATCATATACCTCCTCTGCTGTTTAGATAAGCCACTGTGGGCAGAGATGTTCTCTGCCTAAAGGAATGCTATAGTTACTGGAACAATGACAATGATGTGGATTTTCTAGGCATTATCTGTAATGAGATGGGTTAGATGTGTCATTGGGAGGGTAGGAACTGGTAGGACAGTGGGAGGACACTGTTCACACACCTGCTAACTTCTTCCTTTCCTGCAGTGGTCATTCCCTATCTTTAGCAGTGGCAAGGGCTTTTGCTATTATGGGCCAGGTTCACATAAGTGAAGCTGCTTGTTGGGCCCTTTCTTTATTTCACCCAGGAAAGCCCTTTACTATCTATATTAGTTTTCTCTGGCTGTCTTAAGAAATTGCCACAAACTGAATTTGAAATCATATCAATGTATTATGTTAGGGTTCTAGAAATTACAAATCCTAAGTCAGTTTCACTAAAATCAAGGTGATGGGAGGGCTGGTTCCTTCCAAAGGCATTAGGGGACAATCGATCTCCTTGACTTTCCTCCTAGAGGCCTCCTTGGCTTTTGGCCCATTGCCCATCTTCTGAGCACATCTCTTCAGTTTCTGCTTCTGTTTTTGTCTCATTGTGCCTTTGAATCTCTTGCCTTGTTTTTCTAAGGTCCTGATTATAATTAAAGACTTATTCAGATGATCGATGCCAATCGATTGCTAAATCCTTATTAACTTGTAAGAAATCACTTTACCACATAAGGAAATAGTCACACGTTCTAGGGATTAGGATGTGGACATTAGAGGGTCATTATATAGCCTACCATAATATCTGTTAAGGTCTTAGTTGGCAAGGGTCTGCTATATTTTCTGCATGAGTTCAGGGTTAGTCTGTCCTTGACTATCTGTAGTTTACATCTACAACAGAATGTAAATCATAGTTTCTTTAGTTTAAACTTAATACCAGTGCATTCAGTTTTCTGCATTCCTCAGTCTGGCTGGCAACAAAGTATAATACTAGCATATTGGTGTTATTAGCTTTAGCAGTGATAGAAAATTTTGGAGATGATCTTTGGGGCCTTCCAGGTCATTCTTTTAAAATGGTTATTTCAGATTTTTAGATCAAGTGCTAATGGTTTACAGTAGTAATTCAGTTATTCAATATGTATTTATTGAGCAACTGTTATGTAATCATGTTATGTAATCACATGAAACCACTGATAAAGATGAATAATACTCTGATATGAAAATGAATGACAGTCTTCTCTCAGAATTTATACTTCCCATAAGTTAATATGATATGCATCCATTGATAAATGAATCTCCAGGGGATTCACAGGAAGGGTGTGTACCTGAGTGAGTAACAAGAAGCATCCTACAGGAAGGGATGCTTGCACTGAATCATGAGGGGCTGAGTTACCCTTATTCAGGAAGGACTGAAGTGTTATCACTTAGATGGCCATTTGTAATTTAACAAAAACAGTTCCAGTGGAGTGGAGGATCTGGACAGCAGTAGGCTGACATTAGAGAAAGTGAGTAAGTAGGTAAGTATCTGTTGGGCTGAAGAATCATAGCTGAGGTAGCCTGCAGTAGGTTGGCTGGAAAGATGAGAGGCTGTGATTAGAAGCTGGGATACTTTGATTTGTGATTTCAGAGCTCGTAATGACACAGTCAGGATTATGGCCAGGAGTCTTTGAAAAAAAGTGGATCAAGTAATTGAAGCCGAGGTTGAGGAACTAAAAGATTTGGGTGTTAGATGGACCATTCACTCATAGTAAAACAACCAAATGATGACAGAAGTAGGCAGGTAAAAGGACACAGCAATCAGAAATAGTCATAAATAATTGTGTGGGTATAGAAAGGTAGGAAGACAAAAACTCAGAAGTATATACCATATGTACCTTCTTATGGTATGAACATCAAAGAACTGAGATTTCAAAAGCTGTCCTTTAATAGAAAAAATATCTCACCTTCTGATACTGATAGGAGGTAAGAGTGGGTATTGGAAGGCCTTTATAGATTTCTGAAATAATCCGTTTGTAGTTGTCTTAATTTTTGTGAAGTAGGACAAAAGACTCTTAGAATGAGACAAGTTTAGAGGAGAGTTACTATTCTGGAAAGAGTTGATGAGAGTCAGAGCAATGACTCAACAAGAAAAAATAAGAACCATTTGGGGCTATCACCCCAAATCTGGGGCTATCACCATTTTTGTCTTAGTGTACTAACAGCTGAATAATTGAGCTCCTATGAAGAATGCACATTAGCTATATAGTGGGAGATCAATAATGTCTTTAAAAAGAACAGATTAATAAATATTTGGTCATCATTGTAGAAAGATGGGAAAATAGTGAAATCTAAAAAAATCCTATAAACAAAAATTGTTTGATCAATTCTAAGAATATTTTGCATTTGACCTTATTTCTTAACAATATTTACATTGAGTAACTATGTATTTGCATAATTTGTATATTTATACTTTTAAAAGAAACTTTGAGTTGTAATTTTTACATAAATTTTCTTCTGGAGTTGACAACATGAAATAGGTAGAATATTTCCTATGAATATTGACAGGTATTCAAAAATATACTAGCCACGAAACTCAACAATTTTAGAAGCTTCCTATGCTAGCATATAGTGAAAGGAATCAGTTGTGCACCTGCTGATCTCAGTATTCTCATACTTTTTTGTGTGTTTATTCCTTAAAGATCACCAAGTGTTGTTAGTAATGTCAGATTGTCTCTTTCTAGGAATGCAAGAAACAACACCAGGAAGTCATATCAGTTTACAGAATGCATCTTCTGTATGCTGTACAGGTATGGCTATAACACCCAGTGAAATATCTGGGCATTCTAAAGAAATAAAGCAGCAAGTATTACCCAAACTCTCACCATTGTAGTAGAAGAATACTTTTGATTGGCAAACTTTAAAAATGTCATTTGCTTTGCTTCAGATTTTGTGTAAAAACGCTCGTTGCTCTGTTGGCTAGCAGCAGATTCATCATTTGAGAAATGAAGGAAGATATGGTTCCTTCCTCCATCAAGAATATCCCAGCTTTATTTTCCAGGCATCCCTATATTCTTTGAGCACTCAGCACTATCTTATCCATGTGATGCTTTGACTAACTGGGTTCATATTTACAACTAAGACTCCAGATTTCCTTTGCTAAAGTCTTTGGTAGATCCATCTTCCTCATCCTCCAGACAGATAACAGCAGAGGCCCCTGTTTGACTCAGTTCCCCATGGAAATTTGAGAATTGATGTATGTGACATTTCTCTTAAAACCAGTCATCTCATTCCCCAGGGGAGAATACTGGCATGGCCTAACTGATGTTCTAATCATGGTCTTTTGTGTGAATTTCCTAGGGCCAGATGGATGAAGATGTCCAGAAAGTACTGAAACAAATCCTTACCATGTGTAAAAACCAGTCCCTGAAGAAGTAAAGTGGATTCCTTGGCAAGACACTGCCTCCTGTTCACCTTTGTGTTAGATCTGGAGCTGGTGGCGACCACTGCCATTGTTCTTGTTTGTGGTATGCACTGTGACTAGCATAACTTCTTCCCTTTCCAAAGTTTCTGGGGACAAGCCCCAGGAAAACGCTGTCCTCCACAAAACTGCTTAGAGACTTCAGACCAGCAAAGGTGAAGTCCCAGTCATCCTTTCATATTCTACAGCTGGGATTAGCTACATTTAAGAGTCTGCTCCTGGTGTTGGCAGCTGGCCACCCTGCTTGGTACCTGGACAGCTGCTGGATTTATCACTACCAAGTGATCTGCAGAGGCCTACATGCAGTGAATGCTGCTTTGATTCTGCCCTTTACCTGTGCCATTCAGTATAGGAGAGCTTTTTTTTTTTTTTTTTTTTTTTTTTTTTTTTTTTTTTGCCTGTTTTCAAATCCCAAAATATGATTTAATTTCTAACTAAATTAGTAAGGCACTAGTTATGAAGTGCATGCCTATGACCCTTCATCATGACAGCCTATGAATTTAAAAGCTCTCATAGTTTCTGCCCAGCTGCCTTATGTATCTCATCACCCTGCTTATCAACCTCAGTTTGATAAGTACTATTAACTAAACTATGAAGTTTAAAAACAAAATCAAACTGTCCTTAAAAGTTTGTTAAATCAGTCATTACCATATTACCAATTTTCTATGCAAACTTGGCTCCTGCTATTATCCATGAAACTCAGGAAATCCAAATATTTGTGTTTCAACAAGGGACAGTAAACTATATGTTTACAGCCAAAAGAAATGCCTCAGAATTCTTAACCTCGATTTTTTAAAAGTGTTTTTTCTCTATAGTATTTTTATTGGCTCTTAAAAACATTTTCATATCTAAACCCCTAAATAGTAAAATTGCATTAGATTATATTAACAAAATATTTTTAGGTAACCATGCTTAAGACTTCTTAAAAATAGAACTTTGTCCTCAAAGTTTTCAGCTATAGAAAAGGTAGTTATGTATTTGAGTCTTCATATAAGCTGCCACTTAGACCCCTAGGACTTTATGCTACAGTGTTCAGAACTATAGTACATTTCTAAATACAGTAAATACTCTTCTTACATGTTGAATATTTTCAAATTGCCCAACTGAAAAAGCACCCATAAATTATCTTTGGAAGGACTGCTTATACCATTCAGTTTTTAACTTTGAAATTAAAAGTCTTGATATGGTAACATGGTGCATAGCAAAACGCAGGAAAATGTTCTCGTTCCCTTTACTTTCGGGTTAAAAATGTTTCTAACTTGCTTGCAGCTTCTTTTATCATATTGATCTTGAGGGAGACAAATAAAATATAGTACTTATAGTATAAAACTAAAAGTAGATGCCTGCTCTGACAGGGCCCATATACCCCAGGGATGCCTGGGCTCAAGAGGGTACTTGGCTGAACTGGATGATAAATTGATCTGTATTGGATGAGGACCAATGACAGCAAAACAAAAATGGCTTTAAAGCTTGATGTTGTTTCTTAAGTTTTTTAATTATAGCTAAGCAATGTCAAAAATGCTCCAAAGAAATGTGAAAGGACTTTTTGTCATAGCACTTAAGAAAATTCAAAACAACCATCCTTGTGCACCCACACAGAAATGCTGCAGAGTCTAAAACTTGAGACATTTTGTAGGATGCCTGACAAAGTGTAGCCTTTTATCTTGTTTCAGGATGCATATTTATTACAAGTATTCTGGTTAAATATTGAAAAGGTATATGCTATCGTTTAGCATTTTGTCTTTGTAATTTACAGAAATTATTGCGGAAAATAAACATGTTTCATTTTGCATCTCTGGTGTTGATTTTTGGTAATGTAGAAGCATATCTGTGGTTTCTCAAGATCAGTTCAGTAGCATTTCAGTGTGATGGGTTTTGTTTGCTGCATGATGCTCATATTGTGGGAGTTATCTATGCTGTATCCCACGAAGTCTCACATCATTCTGTCTCCCAATATTTGGATTCACCTTGAGTTTTTCCCCAAGTTCCAGGCCATTTTGGATAGTTATATCACTGTCCTTTAATTGAACATTGCCTTTCATCTGGTCTGTAGTTTTTTATGTTTGGAAACTTCCATTGGATTTTTTGCCTTCTTGTTTTCTTCCTTTCCTTTTTTTTTTTTAAAGTAAAACATGGTTTTAAAAAACTGCCAATACATTCTGTTATCCCATTAATGAGGATAATTCATTTCTGAAGAGTCTTGAAAGATGAATTCTTACAAGTTAAAATCATAAATAAAATACCAAATGTTGATGAAGTGTAACTGTTTAAGTAATTAGCATTAACATAAAACACAGTAACATGTTCCCTCCAATCACAAAGGATTCTACCACCTCTACTTTAACTTATTGCTGCTTTATAGTATACACTGGAACTTGATTTCAAACAAAATGTGCTTGTGATGTTCAGTGTTTACTTAATTGAACCTTTAATGCTTTCCTCCTCCCACACCAGTACAAATCAATAATCTAAATAGTGTATGAGGCTATTTCTATTTTTAATTATTAATTACATACATCTTAGAATGAGAATTTATTTCAACTAGGGCCAACCTAATAACTCAGACAATTTTATAAGGGTACTCTGTTGGGCAAAAAACCTAAACAAATCCAAACCTGCCCTTTTTATATAGAAGAAATCTCTTGTAAATCAAAAAGAAACTTGCATTTCCTTAGTGATTATATTCCAGCCATAACATCGGACAAGTGAAATATATAAAAAATAATCTCTTATTCTACATCCTTAGTTTACCTTTCCAGAAGCTATTCATTTTTTAGCATGATCTGAGACATTCTATGAAGACATGTCTTCCCTTTTAAACATCTCAGAGATTGTTCTCTCGGCATACATATCTCATTTTTTAACTGATAGGTACATTTCATAATGCTGTATTTTATTTAACTAGTTCCTCATTAATGGGCGTATATTTTGCTTCCAGTCTTTTACAACCACAAAAATGATACAGTGACTCAGTGTATAAATGTCTGCACATGTGATAGTCTTCAAACTGTCCACTTTTACATAAGCTTCTATGATAATGCAGATTAAAGAGTAGAATAATGTACATATCATCACACTAAGTGAGAAAGAATGGACATTTCTTACTGATTGAATAACAGACATTAATTTGTTCTACTCCTTATACTTCTTATAGATAGGCTTTAAAATCTTTAATAATTAAAGCTCCCATCTTAAGATAAACACATGATATGTGTGTGGGAAAACACTCCCAGAACATATTGAAGCTTGGCCTTTTGAAATGTAACACAACTGAAATGTTGGGTATTGACAAAAACAAAAAAGATGGAGGTCATGTTTTTGAGCCAAATTGAGAGGCAGAATGCAAGGCAAAGATCGAGCTGGAAAATGCAGCAGATCAAAGTAACAGGACAGAACAGGGATATAGCTCAGAGGCACATATGCCTCAAGTGCAAGGTCATGAGTTCAATTACCAGTACCTCCCCATAAAAGAGGAACAGGACATTTGCAAAGTCACAGTATCTGTTCACTAGCTCAGGGCAGAGAACAGTCTAGTGGCATGTGTGTGTGTGGTGTTCTGGAAAAAAGAAAGAGTCAATAGAATTCAACTTTCTCCATAAACAGACAATAGAAGATGGCTGAGGGAACCATGTGGGTTCCAGCACATGGAAAGGTTAAGAATTTAGCCCCAACACATGGCAAGCAGGAAGAAAGAGGCATTCCTGAACATATATTTTAAGTTGGACCTTAAAATGGTATATCCAAGCACTGACTAGACATACTAGACTATAAAATGGTGACTGTATAGAAGAGAAAAAAGGAGGACACTGCTAAATTTCTAGAAGAGAGGTAGTAAGGGCTTCCATGGTGCTATCTCCTGAAGCATATAAAGCTATGCATTTAATTCAGGTTAAAAAACACACTCTGGTAGACAGAATAAAGTTCCCCGACCTCCAAAGATGTGCATTTTTGTAATCCCCTTTAAGCTCTGAATATGTTACATGACAATGGAGAATTTGTGGGATTTTAAGAGTATCTTATATTAACCCAGGTGTGCCTAATGTGAAATGAAGGGTCCTTTAAAGTAGCTGTAGGAGAATGAATTAAAGAGATTTGAAGATGCTGTACTGGGGGCTTACAAGATAGAGGAAGAAATCATGTTAAGGAATGAAACTGGGCTCCAGACACTGGAAAAGGTATCTGAATAATTTCCGTGGGGCCTCTACAAAGAACCACTCTTACCCAGAATGTAGCTCAGTGGTGTAGCACCTGCCCGGCAAGCGTGAAGCCTGGGTTCAATTCCTGGTACAAAACAAAACAAAAACCAAAGAATCATTGTTGCTGACTTCTTGTCTTTGGTCAAATGATAGCCATTTTAGACTCTGGTTTACAGAATTGTATTATCATATAATCATTTTTCAAGTCAACAAGTTTGTGGTGAATTATTACAGCAACAATCGGAAACTGATCACAAACACTGAGAGGCCAGAATCTACTAATCCCAAAGATGATTCAGTTTAACAAATGTTATTGTGAAAGGGAACAAGAGAAAGGGAAAGGAAAAAATACAAAGATTGTGTAAATGGAGGGAAGGAAACGAGGAAGGGTTGGAGGAGGAGAAAGGAATGGCAGGGAAGAGAATTAAGATATGTGCAGCTACAAATCCATTATGGTGAACGTGACCTTTATGTGTGACAAACGTACTAAATATAAGTTTAAAAATAAAGCAAATGTTATTGAACACATTTTTCCCCTGTGTTGAGTGCTATCGGCTCAGTGGTGAGAACAGTCCCTCCTTACCTGCAGCTGTGCAATGCCTGTGTTGAGTATTTCACTGGGTGGGTGGATTTATTCCCAATGAGGACCTGCATGGCCTGATGATCTGTACTTTACCCAGTCTCCTGTGACATTCCTGTTTTTACTGCTCTCTTGCTGGCTCTCGACTCCATTAAATGTGCCTTGCTTCAGAGCCACTGTATTTGCTGTTAACATTCTAAAGTGTTCTAGATATTGGCATAGCTGTTCCCTCATTCTCTTGAGATTGCTGTTCAGTGTTATCTTGTCGAGAGGTCCTGCTTAACTCCACTGTAGAATACAAGGTGGTTCACTCAGCTGAGGGAGTCAAATCCTGAAACACAGGCTGTTGGTTTACTCCCCATTTTCTCCAGCCTGGGCAGAGCCCTGGCCTTTGGGGGAACCCTTGCCCTCAGTTTCAAGAGCTGTACTCAGTAGGGGTCTAAGTCTCACTGGAGGAGGCTTTTTTTCAAATTCATACAAACGTTGTCTACCATCTAAGTCACATGCCTTTTTCTAACTAGCAGTGATACCATAATGCTTATTAGCATCCCTGTTTTTTGTCACTTAGAAAAATAGGTCACAGAGTCAAGTTTTTGTCTATTTGTTGATCTCTGCTTTCTTAATGCTCAGAACAGTATCCGGTACATACCTCATCTCAAGATGAGCTTGGGGACAGAACACTAGGAGTTCAGAAGTAACCCTGTCTTGAGGCCAAAAATGTGTCACAAGAGGACATATATTTGGATTTCCTTCTTACATTTCACAGTTCCTGGATTGAAACATTTTGGAGATAAACATATTTGGATATGGAGTTGAAACAGTGTAGAAGTACCCTCTACACATGCTTCCTTTGTGTGATTTTTGCAATACTAATGCTTCTACCTTGATACTAAAGGAATGTTAGTGTACATTTGTAAAACCATTGCCAGCCAGGCTACAGGCATTCCATTCCAGAGCTAGTTAACAACTTTAAAATGCATATACTACAACTATGCTTAACATTTGTGGGATGGCAAGGGGAGTATCACAGAGGTTTGGAACTCAGAGTCCTTAAGATTCTCTTTGATTTGTAATTTTACAAATGAGAGTGACATGCTTCTACACAGAGCGAATTTAAAGGAGGCAGCATCAGAGTATTGGCCTTAGGATAGGGAATTCAGTGTCTCTTCTGGTACCATACTTCACAGCGATCAGCAAAGACAGGTTTTAGAAAAGGCTACTTCCTTTAATACACTTAGAACATTATAGTCATTTCCTAGAAAGAATACTAAAATTTTTTCAAGGTCATGATTCCCCACTTGATAAGGGGTAAAAGAAGTGTGTTAGAAAAGAAAAAGGTTTTCCTCTTTTTATTTACACAAATGTTAGACACTTACAGAGTCACAAAAATCCCTGCAGAATCCTGGAATTGAAAGAGATTTAGCAAATCAAGTGGTACAAGTGCACTCACTATATACTCAAACCTGAGATCCATGTGACTTGTCCCACGCCACCTGGAGTTAAAACAAGAAACATCATCTTGGAAATGAGTTCACTGGTCTTACCACTGCTCCATACTAAAAATTCTCTTGCAAAGAGCTAACAAGGTGGAATATTTACAAAATTTTGGCTCAGTAGCTTGTGGGTACAGATTTAAACCTTGAGTTAACAGACCATCACGGTTTTAGCTAAGAGATATTTAAGTAAGCTCATTTAAATAATCCTTCTGACATAGAAACGCTTTTTTGGCAGCCTTGGATCAATGGCAAATAAACTTCTACCCTAGAGTTGGAAAGAACAAACACCGAATAAAAATTCCATCTTTCAAGAGCCCAGTAAACATTCTCCTCCTCTACTTAGCCTGCTCTTTTTTTTGAAAGTGAGAGATATCCGCTCTATCTTGACTTATCACTTGACCTATCAATTGTGGGGTTCATGATAACACCCTAAAGGGCACTAGGACCACCAGTGCTGTTCATTTGGGTATTGGTCACGAGTTTCCCTGCGCCTGTGTGCATTACTACTGTGTGTTTGTCGCCACGAAGGGGTTCACACCCAGATAAGAATATATGGCTGAATAATTCAGGCCTTTGTGGTGTTTGCCAAACGTGCCCACTTAACTTAGTAGCCCATTTCGTACTTCACTCCCTTCCTGGATTCTGTTCTCCTAAACAAGCCTAACTCCAGTCAGTACCAGGACAGGCAACCCCGACAGACGGCGCGGCACAGCGGACAGTTATCCTATCAGAGCCTGTTCCTCTGGGGTTCGCGGGAGCCGAACACCAGGGGCTTAGGAGGTGCACCAAGGGGAGTGCAGGGCTGGCTGGCCGGCCTGTGGTTGTCGCTGAATACCGCCAACAAGTGTCACAGCTTTAAACCAGCAGGCCCGGGAGCTCCACCCTCCTTCCCGTCTTCTGATGGGTTTTACCCGCTCTTCCTGCATCTTCTTGGTGAGGAACGACCCTACGCAACAAACACCAATGGACATTTCAGAGTAGAGAGGCAAGTCCGGGTCAAGCCTGAGGCGGCGGAGGCCACGCGCGCAGACCAGGGAGCTCTGTTGGCCATGGGGGGCGTGGGCTGCCTGGGTCCCAGCCAGATTCCCGGAGACCGGAAGTGACCCGCGTCGTCGTGGCAACGGGCGCCAGCACCCCGCCCCTCTGCGTTCGGTTTCCATAGCAACTCCATTGTATTCCGGGCGGCAAGCTCCGAAAGTAGAACGCTCACCTCTCACAGTTGAGGTGCCCGGAACGAGGTTGGCCGGGATCTTGACGCTACGTCCCCCGCTGTAGCTGACCGGCCGGGCTCCAGGAGACACGAAGCCCAGTTCCGGGGCCTGGCTGCTCTGCCTCCGCTAGGTGCGCGGCGCCGGGTTCCCTCGCCCGAGCCGCGGACCGGGTGCTGTGCGCACGCGCGGCAGGGCCTCAGGCAGCCTGTGCGAAGCGCAAGCTCTGATGTGCCCGCTGGGTTTCTGAGGTTGGCGACGGACCGTCCCAAAAGGAGGAAGCGCTTTGTATTTGAGAAAAGGGCCTAATGGACCCTCATACACACCGGGTACAGGAGTGTGAGAGATCAATCAGAACCTGTTGCCCTGGCCATAGTTTTGAAAGTAGAGATTAGAAAGAAAAATTAGTGAGTCTTCCTTTATGATTTTCCGATCGCGGAGTTTGGAGTCAACCCAGGGATCCCGTGGGAGTGAGTGACATTCTGTAGAGCCAAACACCTAGGTGGGTGTTGAACATTAGCTCAACAAGTCACTGTGCGTTCGATTTGGGTTCAGTTGAAGCCTCAGAGATGGCCTTGAGAAATGAATTTCACAAACATTTTCCATCATGTGTTTGAGCCTAGCAGCAAGCAGAATAGACCCCTGGGCTAGCGCCTTAACTAGAACTTCCTATTAGTGAAATGACCCCAGGGAGAAGGCTGTCCATTTAGTACCGAAATATGATTGCTCTGTTTGGCTCTTCTTTCCCTCAAGTCTGTCAAACATACTGGAGTTCTGAGCAGGTGAGCATAGTTTGGCTGACCCAGATGGAAAGGTGTAACTTTTTAAAGGTTAAACGCAAATCCAGGCATTTAGAAGTAAAATGGAGTTGAAATGAGGGGAGAATTTTTAATTCCTTTAATTTATCAAATGCCTCTAATTTCTGCTCTTTATGGAGATCCCCATATGTGAGTTTGAAATATCCTATTTGTAAACTGTATTTGGTAGTTTCAATTTGATGTTAATAGCACATACACAGATCAAACTCCGACTAAACCTTGTCTCCCAAAGCTGATCCCATATATGATTCTTGGTAGGAAAAAGATGCAAGCCAACCCCATTCGCATCCCAACAGTTAGCAATGACACCGACTGGGACTTCTGCTTCAACCTGTAAGTACTAGAGGGCTTTGACATCATACTCGCTATTTGGTATCCCCAACACTGGATCCCCTCACTTAAAACAGGTCTGGGTGAAAAACTTAGCAAGCACATTACAAAAGAAAGTTCCATGTCTACAGTATGATTTAATATTAGTTATTATATTATATAACTTATATGCTAAGATGGAAGATAATTGTTCTTTTTCTAATGTAAGAAAAAAATTTAAATGTAAAATTATTTTTTAAAAAAGACAAGAAACTGAAAAACAAGCCTAATAATGGCTTAGAGAAAATAAGACTATTGTTGTTTTTTAAAATAAAGAAAAAATGAGTAAATAAAAGTTTTCACATGGTAATGCTTGATACTTATTTGAGCACATATTATGTGCCTGTCCCCTAGCAATCCTGTGAAGAGCTATTGACATTACATTTTCTAGATGAAGAATATAAACCAAGGAAAGATTAGGTGGTTTGCCCAAAGTCATACAGCTAGTTAGTGGTACTGAAACTAGTCTGCTTGATTCCAGAGTCTGTTCTTCCCTTAACCATTCTTCTAGACAGGGTATCTCCACTTTTGTACTATTTTAGGTCTAATAACTATTGTAAAGGCCCATGCTGTGCACTGTAGGCTATTTAGCAGCATACCTGGCTTCTACTCACTAAATGCTAGTATCACTGCCCCAGTCTTGACAACCAAAAATAGCCCCACAAACTGCCCAGATGGTCCCAGGTAGTAAAACCATTCTTAGCTGAGAACCATTACTCTTTATCTTTCTCATCAAATAGAACTATATAATGCAAGCCATAAATGTGAACCACATATTAAAAAGTAAAACAAAGCAGATGAATTTAATTTTAGTGCTGTTTATCTTATATCCAGAATATTATTATATAAAATTATTAATGAAATACTTACTTTATGGTTAAGCCTTCAAAATTCTATATCTTGTACTTGTCTCAATCTGACTCACCACATTTTTGTGCTTAGTAGACATACATGGCTACTGATTATTGGATAACATGCAGTAATTGTACTTCACCTCACAAAATATCATGAAGTTAAGTGCTATGTAACAGTTGAAGTTAAAAATAAGGATTTGGAATGAGGATGTAGGTCAGATTAGGACACTTCCTTAGCATATACAGGGGTCTGGGGTCAATCCCTAGTACTAGATAAAAGAAAAAATACAGTTCACATTTGAAGAAATGTTGCTTCCTTGTCAACATGACCTGAAATGCCTTTGTGTCTCTGGACTAGATATTTATAATGGCCACCTGGATGGATGCTAGTGAGTCCTTTTAAAAATGTGTCACAAAAGATCACACTCAATATTTGACTTCCTGTCATAGTTTTCTAAATTTCCTTTTAAAATTAAAAATTATAAACATTCATTACTTATATAATCAGTAGAAAAGCAAGGTAAATATTATTTTAAAAACTTTGTGGTAGCTAAACTTTGTAATCTTACTTTGAATACAAAGATGAGTCTTTTGGAAGACATATTTGTGATTAATTTTGTTCTTAAAGTATCAGAATTCTTTTTCTTCTGGGTGACTTCATTGATTTTTCTGATAATATTTGGATATGGTTAGTTCTTGGTTGTGTAACATTACTAATTCTTTTGACTTTATGACTAATTTCTTCACTATAAGGATTAGTGTTACATTCAGAGCTCTTCTATATTGCATGGTTGTATGCGAAGGTGAGAAAGAGAAAGAAGGGACAGATTGATTTTCAATTCTTATTGTGTTTATTTTAACACAACTGAGAAGATCATTTCTTTTCTGACTGTATTCAACTCACTGTGGGATCCACATCTTCTTTAGTTAATTTACCATGACATGTTAAAGCTTTTAAAATTTACTAAAGAGGACTTGTGATATACAACTGCAAAATGTTAGTTCTCTTATTTTGCTATATTTGTTCTTTCCTGATTTGAATAAGACTTTTAGGATCTTCGAGATCTCCCAATTAATACACGTATTGTGTAGATGAAGAAACAAAAGTCATGAAGCTAATGATAATAGTAGTAATTGACATTTGAAGAATGCTTTCTAAATACCAACTACTATACTAAGTGATTTATCAGTATTGTGTTATTCAATCCTCTAACTTTGTCAGGTAGGTGTTTACATTATAATATACAGAGAAGTACATTAAGGAGTAAGCTTTTAGGGTTTTGTGCTTAGTAAGCAGCAGAGCTGTGACTCTGCTACAGGGGACATGTTCACCAAACCTTTAATTTGAATCACCACATTACTGCCTTAGATGCTGGGCTTTGAGAGTAACATGAGTTTACCACTTATCTTTATTCTTTGAAGTTTAAGTTAGAAAATATCCCTGGTCCACAGTTGAGCGAGTGTCTTAGTTACTCTTCTCTTTGCTGATACAAGATACCTAACACCCAGTTAAAAGGGAAAATGTTTATTTATCTCATGGTTTATAGGGGTTTCAATCCATAGCTGGCTCCAAGGCAGAGTGGCACATGGCAGAGGGGCAACCATTCATGAATGACAAAAGACAGTAAAAGCAACAAGAAAGAGCAAGACAAGCTCTTTCTATCCCTTATATTTTATCCAGCTTACCAAGATTAGGGTGATGTGAATCCAATCAGTGGACTGATCCAGCAATCACCCACCTTTAATCCCAGCACCTTAATTCCGGATTACACTACAGATCAATCATATACTCTATGTTTAGCCACCTTGGAAATCTCTATGACTGCATGAAGCTTGGAGGGGGGTTAGGGCACAAACCATAACAGACCGTAACTGAAGCCTTCACTTTTCTCTTTTTGAACAACCTGAGTCCATGTGCCTTTAATTTCCATAGGTCACAGCAAAGCAGGACTCCAGAATACCAGCAAACAGGTGAACTGTATCCTACTTGTGAGTCTGAAGAGAGTGAAGAAGACACTACAGTCCAGAAAGAGGAGAGGGCTACTGGTTTGTGTTTTCCCAAAGAGAAATTAGCTCATTCCCAGAAGAAAGTAGCTCAACTGATTAAGGAAAAAATGGTAAAACAAACAAAAAAATTACTAGATTTTTGCTCCATTTGAAAATAGTCCCATGATTAAAGAAGTCCTGCCTTCACTGCAGAGGGAAGCATGTAGAAGAATATGGTGTATTTCTTTGTGAGGTGGAAGAAAACAGATTATAGTCAGATAGCCACCTTCTAGTTCTATGCAGGGTTTGCTCTCTATTTGTCCTTGAAGGGTTTGTGCTTCTAGTGTTAAACTTAAATTTGATGCTTGCTTGGTCCTGTTGCTGTTTGAAATGCCCAGTCAGGTAAAAGATGAGGGTAGTACTAAGTACTCAAGGGGAAATAAATATAAGAACTTGTTTTTAGGATACAAGAGTAGAATAGAGTCAGTTTAACTCGATAGTTTGTGGAGTGGGAAGGAATAATAATAAGAAAAAAAAACATGAAGGAAATTAGTCCTACCTTCCTGTGATGGGTCAGAGGTTTTCTTCCTTTCCTAAAGTCATCACAACTTTTTGTCCTCTACAGAATACCCAGGCAAACAGAGAGCTGATACGATGTGTCATCCTCTCTCGGATTATCTTTGGAGAAGAACACTGGAAATGTGCACAGGCTTTGGCCAACTTGGCTTATGGCTACCTGACACTGAGAGGTACTTGGTTTCTCAGATGGGTCTGGTAGGGCCAGACTATGATACTGAAATGAACCTCTTAGCGGGTGGGGATAACAGAAGGCATCTTCCCACCCCTAGCTAATACCTCATCAAGAGAAAGTAGAGTCTATAGAGACAGACAGTAAAGATAATAATGGTGATAATGATGGTTATTAGATATTTAGTACAGTATATGGCAAGAAAATTTTGTTTAGTCCTCATTATATTCCTCGGAGAATATCCTTAATATCCTTCACTTGTAAATGAGACACTAAAACACAAAAGACTGTCTAGAGTTCCAGCCACAGGTCAGTAGAGCAGGGGCAGGCAGCTGTGTACATGGAACATCATGAAGGCAGACCAGTAATAGGACTTGAATTTTAAAGATTAAATTCAAGTTCCTGGAAGGAAAAGATAGGGTCTCTTATCTTAGAGAAGAGGTGTTTCTTGAAGGTGTCTCATGTAGGAGTACAAGATGGAATCTATTTTCTGAAACCAGAACCTAATTGAAAGCTCTGTGAGGGCAGGGACTTTGCAGTAGAAGCTCAATAAATATTTGTTGACTGATTGAGGCACAAACAAATTTCTAAAATAAGTGTCATTGCCAGCTCAAGATCCTCTGCTTTTTAACCAACGATATCTTCCCATGTGAATTGTATTCCCTTCTACAATGGAACTTACTGTACTGTCCTCAGATACTCATATACTATTTGTTGAAATGCCTCTGCCTCTGAAATAGAAGCCCTCTGTGAATATGAACTAGATTCCTGTTTATTCTAGAAGAATCCCTTGCACAAATATGAATCAACACATTATTATTTGATAGAAATGAACTACTAACATAGGACTTTTTCAAGTGTCTCTTGGATATCAGTCTGAGGTAGTTGAAGGCCTAAGAAATTCAAAGAATATAAGAAAAGGGAACCGATACACTTAGGGCATAATGAGCCTAGATCAGAAATCAGAACTTAATAAAGTTAACATCGAACTCATGTCTCAGATATTAATCTCAGCACGTGTTCCTTCTTTGGGATCCTTAGATCATTTTGCATTCATTTGTTTTTAATGTAATTTTAGGTTCATTGGCTATTTAAGTCCAAAGATGGGACAAAGAAAGATCACTGTGGGAGGGCATGACAGAGGAAAGCTGCTTACCTCTTGACAGCCAGGAAGCAAAGAAGGGAGGAGCCAGGGAAGGAGATACTACTGGAAGGCAAACCCTGGTGACGCCTCTTCCAGCCATTTCCTGCTTCCTAACAGTGCATTTAACTTTGACCTCATCAGTGGATCAATTCACTGGTGAATATGTACCTTCTGCCCCCATGATCCAGTCACCTTACAAAAGTCCTATATCTGAATACGTAAGATTTTTGGAAGACATTCTAGATCTAAACCATAACATCACACAAAGATACTTTTACCAGAGTAGGAGATGCAGTAAGATTTTTTTTTGAAAGGAAGAATCCAGTTAGGAGAATTGAAGGTTTAAAAATGGGTAATTGATGGGATGGAGTTCTTAAGAGAATGCGAGACATTTGTAAAGCAAACTATGCCAGTGACTCTTGAATGGAGAAAGAGGTAGAGATACTAGAATTAGAACTCTTGCTGACTGCTGGGGAAATAATCCTGTGGAGCCCAGTGATACAGTGTCTGAGAAGAGGGCAGGCAAAGACCACCAGGGCAGTTTGGCACTGGTGGTATGCTGTTTCAAATTGTTTAGAAAGGAGAGTAGAGTAATATGGACACACAGTTTCCTGCTGTTTTGCTTATTAATGAAGGAATAAATTAGTCTGTTATTACTGGGAACTTTCCAAGTATTCAGGGATCTGTTGAAAGCACTACAAAATACAGAAAAAGACATCCAAGTTATAATTCTACTGTATATAATTGGGACAAAAACAAAACAAAAACACCAGGCACAACAATAACCAAGAATGACAAAACCAGATAATCTGGTCTGCAGAAACCCTAATACCTACTTGAAATAAGTCTGAGTCTGAAAATGCTGCCCTTAAATAGAAATTTTGCAAGGGGTACTATGGAAATGTCCGAAGGGAAAAAAGATACAATAAACTACTCAATGAGGGAAATCGACTCTAGTAAACATAATCGTAATGGAGAGTATTTCTTCAAACTCATTTTGTTCAGGTACTGCTTCATGCATTAAATTAATTCCTGCCAGAATCCTACAAATCCTACATCCTTTTCCAAAATTTATTTTATTTCGAGTTGGGCATGATGTAGGATTCCTTTAAAGTACAAAGGTACTTTAAAGGTATTTCACTGCCATTTTATGGGTGGATAAACTGAGGCATCAGTTGATTAATTAGTTCAAGGCTATATGGATAGCTGTAAGTAGCTAGCCAGGATTGTTATCTGGAAAGCCGTATTTTGGACCCGGCTCTCTTAATTATGGTGCCAGAGTAACTTCTTAAACACGAGTGATAAAGCTACTGCTTTCTGCTGAGGCTAGCAACCTCAAAGACACTGGGTAGCTCAGAGCAGAATTTTTCTGGTCAAAGTCATGTAATGGACATTAAAGACAGAATCCTAACTCAAACCAAAGCAAAATGACTGATGTGCTTTGTGAGCATTCTTTGAACCGACTTTGCCCTGTCATCAGTACTTCCTTGTGTAGACTCCTGAATCTTGGGCTCCTAAAGGCAGGCCTTGTTGTCATGTAAGATTTTTATCCCTCCAATTGCTACACAGTGCAAGAAGGGTAGTGTCCTTCACTTGTGGGTGCAACCAACAGAAAGTGACTTGATTTAGGAGCAGACACAGGGATTGAAAATGCAGGGCTTGGAGTTAGGAAAAAAGATCATAAATCTGTAGCATATGCCACAAATAGATGCCGTAAAACCATCAGATATATAGTAGTGTTTTGATGTAAAAGAGGGTGTTTTATGCTAGGTTTGGTGGTACACATCTGTATCCCCAGCACTCAGGAGACTCAGGCAGGAGGATCACCATGATTCTGAGGCCATCCTATGCTGCAAAGAGTGAGGTCAAGGTCAGCCTACACTACATACTGAGACTCTGTCTCAAAAATTAATCAAATGCATGTGCATTTCAAAGTGTTACCAGTATAAAATTTGTGATAATTTTTGTCATGAATTTTAAGTAGTTTGTGCCATAAAAACAATGTTTATCACAAAGTAGAGGATATAATGTGAACATTTTTTAAACACAAAAAGCTCTTTCATACTTGAAAAGATTGGGAAACATTTGTCTAAAAGTAGTGCACTCTTCATAGCTCCCATAACTAAAAGCACTCTCCATACACATATATTTTTTTACAAACTGTGTACAACAGTATTAATATACTATAAAATATTATAAATAGTTATAAAGTAGAAAAAAGAATAGGATAAAAAAGACAGCACAGACATTTTGATTTTTTTTAATACCTTATGGCATCTTACATACCTACAGGAGAGTATGCAACCTACTTTGGAGACTAGAGGGATTCTGGAAATATGAAACGAGAGATTTTCCCCCTTAGGGCTTACTTTAAAGTATAATAAACAGCTTTAAATCAAGATCCTTGTTCAGTTTGCTCAAGCCCCATTGGTCATTAATTGGGCTTTTTTATTAGAAGGGCCGCAGTGTGGGGCCTCTGAGTCAAGAAACTGTTTAATTAATTGGCTGCTGAGCTTAGAGGAAAAGTATTCCTCCAAGAGAATTCACACCAGTCCCAGGCACTGTGATGGGAGGAGGCAGGCCTGAAAAGCCCTGGGGACCATCAGAGCTACCTTCTCAAATGTAGTTATTTTGCTTTCCCTTCAGGATCCCAGAAGGGGTGCTGTGTTTGCTGATGTAAGGCAACTTTCTTTCTTTCTTTCTTTCTTTCTTTCTTTCTTTCTTTCTTTCTTTCTTTCTTTCTTCCTCCTTTTCAGTTGCTGTTGTGGTACTAGGTTTTGCACCTATGGCTAAGTAAAGGTTTACAACTATGCTATATTCTCCATCCTTTTCCAAAATTTATTTTATTTCGAGTTGGGCATGATGTCGCTTGCCAGTGATCTCAGCACTTTGAGAGGGTGGGATAGAAAGATTGCAAGTTGAGCCTGGCCTGGGCAATTTAGTGACTTTGTGACACCATCTCAAATTAAAAAGGAGTTGTAGCTTAGTTGAAAAGCTCTGGGTTTAATCCCCAGTAGTGAAAAAAATATATGTTATTTTGAGATAGTCTATGTTAGAGTATTCTGGCACAACAGAGAAACACAAATACAAAAATGAACAGGTTTATTGAGTTGAGGGTGTGGAAAAGAGCACACAACCCATGGCGGCTGGGCTGTCTCTTTCGACCAGGTAGAGAGGCAGAGAGTTATATGACCTCTGATTGAAGTGGCTCATGGGGCGGATATTGGTGACATGTGAGGAACCTGTTGGAATTTTCTGTGCGGGTAAACAGGAAGGGGAGTTGCAGTTAGGGCTGAAGAAGAAGCAGGAAGTGGTAGATGTTCCCACTTTTGGCCTTCCGCCACATTAGACCACCGCCATAACTGTACAGTAATTTTTTTTTGTCTTTTTCCTTTTTATCGGTACCAGGGATTGAACTCACAACTGCCTGCTTGCAAGGCAGGCGCTTATGCCGCTGAGCTAAATCCCCAGCCCCAACTGTACAGTAATTTATACTAGGGCAAAACTCTTTCAGTCTAGATACTACAAGTTGCCTGGGTTGGCCTGGTACTTATGATTCTCCTACTACACACTCTCCAGTAGGCTGGGATTATAAGTGTGGACCTGCAAAGGTTCATGGGACCTTCCAGTGCTTCTCCATGTTCACCTTTTTTTTTTTTTTTTTTGTAAGCTCCCAGGGAGTAACCCTATTTTGGTTGCTGTACTCCTCCCCACTGGTTGTGGAAAACAGCATATTTGAACAAAAGACTCCACTCCCTACTTTTTTCTGGTTTGTGAAGCAGTAATCCCAGCTTCTGATGTCCCAGCAGAGTTTCTGTCAGAATACTAGTTGATACTTTAATTTTTACAGCCTATAAAAAGCTCTCAAATACCTGACAGATCAAATCCAACCTGCTTACTTTGTCGTCTGTTATAGTCTGAATATCTCCTTTCCCTTCTACCTTCCCCATCTAAGGACACAGAAATAAAGCCCAGTTAGATGACCGTGACTTGATTTTGAACTTCCCAGGCTCCAGAACTTTGAGAAATCAGTAGTAGTTTCTTATAGTTATCCAATCTTTTGGGTATTGTGTTATAGTGTCACAAATAGAGAGCATCCAAGACTTAGTTTTACATATGCAATGCATACTTTATATATTTTACATTCAAACTGTTCCTTCAGACTAGTCTTACTTTCCTTCCTAACACTCTTAGTCCAGCCTCATACACAGGTTACAATATTAATGAGGTCCTCCTTGTAGAACATATGAGAGCTGCAGACAACAAAGGTAAGTCATTTCAAAGTATCCCAATTGCTGTGGATTTGCACCTATGCTGTGAAAACAAGTCTCTAAAGGTCAAAGACAAGGCAAGCTGTGTAGAATGGAATTAGGACTGTCATGTAAGAAGTAGAGAGGTACACTGGGCCAATTTGGCAGGTGTGGCTATATTTACTGATCTCTGGGTACCTGCAGGAAGAGGGTTGAAACTGAACATCAGCCATGGTTTCTAGTATAGTTGAACAGAACTAGAGTAGTGTGTCCTCTGCCAGGCTTTCTTCCTATTTTCCTCAGGGCTTCTTTCCCTTTTCCATCAGGAAAGGGAAAAGATATAAGCTAAAAAATGAGGAAGTAGTACTATACACTGACTGTTCTCAAGTTTACCTCTGTTAAACAAATAAAGAGGGTAAGTGCCCAGGAACACCAGCCTTTAATTGGAGAACAAGGAGAAAGCAATATCAATTCTGTCTGGTGTTCCCTTTGTCTTTTTAGTGAAGAGTCTCAATGCATTAAGGAATTGGATTGTGTGTGTGTGTGTGTGTGTGTGTGTGTGTGTGTGTGCGCGCATGCGTGCCTGCGTGTGTGTGACCAGTTAGTACCACCAGCTTCATGTTTGATTTTAAAAAAAGTCCCAGATGGAAACAATTGCATTCATAAGCCCTTATATTTATGCAGCGCCTTTTCTACAAAGCTCATAGCTGGGCACTCTATGACATGACATAGTCTGTTCCCAGATTATGTCCACATGCAAAGTAAAGAGCAGTTTTGACAATTGTTGTTCTTTGCTGTTTGGAGGAAGAAGAGGCTTTTCTGGTTGAAAGGGTCACATGATATTAGCAGCAGAATTGGAAAGGGGACAAGCAGGTTCCACTCCTTTCTCTATCAGTGATTTACAGACAGGTTCACAGACTGTTTACAGAAAGGCTTGCACAAGGACCACTTGTGGACTTAAATTAGAAAGTCTCGGATTCCATTATTTTACTGCATTCCTCCAATTCAGTAGGCCTAGGGCAGGACCTAAGAATCTATGTTCTATTGAGTATTGGGAATTAAACTCAGGCCTCTTGCTTGCCAGGCAGGCACTGTGCCACAAGAGTCTATGTTCTTTACAAGCATTCCAGATAGATCTGATTCATAGCCAAATTTAAGAACTGATACTATACACAACTCCCAGAAATGTCTTTGAGAGGAATGTGCCTTTTTAATATCTTTCCTCTTGCTGCTCATTCTGTAACTTTTGCAGGCCTCCCAGCGCAAGCCAAGAAACATGCTGAATCCGCCAAGAATACACTCTTGACGTGGAAAGGAAAAACAACCTCAAACGAGGAGAAAGAGGAAATCCTAAAAGCTCTGGTCATGCTTTACTACACTCTGGGGGTGGCCTGGCTCCTACAGAATCAATATCCTTTCCTTCCCAGATGGCTCTGGTGATGAGGGTCATGGGCCACACTTGTTGGAGGGGTCATCTCACGTGAGCAAACAGCAGATGAAACCATGTTATTGTAGCTGTATTCCCATTCTTGAAGGCCTTCAACATACTATGTCCACCTAGAAAGGTATGCATTTTCCTCCTTGTCTAATCATGTAAGCCCTGAGTTGAGCCCCAGGAGGGAGTTAATTAGTGACACATTTCTTAGCCAGCTGAAACATTTCTAGTCTTCATTGAGCACCCAATAAAGTTAAGATTAGTGATGCAGATAGTGGTGGAAGTAGTGTAGGAATGGGAGAATGGGTGGTGGTTTATAGCAAAGCATGATAGTCTGGGCTGTACATTGTGATTCCCTAGGGAGTTTTAAAAATTACTGCTGTATAGATCGTACCCCAGAGATTTTAATTTTGTAGCTCCCCAGGTGATTATAATGTGCAGCCCCAAACCACTGATTTAATAAAATTCTTTATCATTTAGTTTTTTTTAAATGCTGTTGAGAACACTGCCCATGAAGCCAACCAAAACAGACAAAAAGAAAACAAAACAAAACAGTTCTATCTAACCTCAAGAGGGGACCAACGTGTATGCTTATGTTAGTCAGCTTTCTATTATCACTATGGCAAATACGTGAGATCATCAGCTTTATAAAGAGAGAGACTTGTGTTCCCACTCACACTTTTAGAGGTTTCAGGCCTATACTTTTGGCCAGTATACTGTTGGGCCTGTGGCAAAGTAGTGTATCATGATGGAGTACCTAGAAAACAAGACCCCTCACTTCATTGCCAGGGGCGAAAAGAGAAAGGGGAGGGGATGAGATCCTACTGTCTCCTCAGGGACACATTCCCAGTGACCTCATAAAGTTTCCAGCACCTCCCAGTAACACTATGCTGGAGATCAAGCCCTTACCGCATGGACATTTGGAAAACCGTAACACCCAAACTTATGGTAGTACCTTTGCTTCAGAAGTTTGTGATCTTGATAAGCTTTTGATGTTGTCACCACTTGAAAGATACTGACATTTCATGTTCACAAATAATCAGGAGCACTCTGAGCCCATGTGTGTCCACTCCCTTCTCCCTACACATCCCCTCTCTACTTTTTTGGTTCTGTTGCTCAGCTTTCAAAATGTGACGTAGCCTTCCCTATTAGACCTTTAACCAGAGAGTCTATGAAAAGTGTGGGAAATAGAAGGATATTTGGAAATTAAGGGGGTTTCTTTCTTGCTATTTGCATCTGGCCAAAAACTTACTCTTCTTGGATTTTTAAAAATGATCCAGAAAGTCCCTTTCAGCATAATTAGTTCCTTTCTTATACCATTCTTGCAAAACAACTTGGGAAAAATGAGTAACTGCTGTCATACATACAGTAGATGCCACTGACAGAACTGCCGTGTAATTTACAGTTTCCATTCCTCCCTGCAAAGCTTCAACATCCACTCCAGACATGGATACAGACGAACACTACAGAAAATCTAAGGCCTTGTTCTTTATCCAGAGAATTCTCACTTCTTGACCTATACACATGGAAAGTAAAGAGCATAGTTAAGTACCCAGTTTTAAATACAGCTTTATTTTCCCAAATGGCCATTTTGTTTGCATATCAACTTTCCCTGTTCATTGGCAGTTAATTTGTGTGCCTGGCATTTCCTTTGACTATTTTACTGGCAGAGAGGCCTTTTTAAGCCTGCAGAAGGCAGACAGAAACATGAAGGAGCTGAAAGAATTGACTAAGGGAGATGTTTGTGGATTACAGATTTCAGAGGAAGACCTAACAATTGCACTGGGAAGGTAAGGTCTGGGCATAGCAGAAGTGAAGCTTTATGAATCAGGCCTGGAGTTGCATGATGTTCTGTACTCTCTAAGGGGAGAAAACTATTCAGAGAAGAAAAGCAAAAAAACTCAAAATGTATTATCATATCAAAAAGACTCATATTTGACAAATGAATACTCTGCTCCACACTTACTGTGCAGTGCTGAACTTAATCCTGGCATGCCTCTGTATCAGGTCCTGTCCTAGATCCCTGATCTCCCGAATAAGTGTATGGTGGAGGTTAAATAAAAAGAAATTGTATGATTTGTAGGGCTCCAGGAGGGTCAAAACCCTTTAATTAAGCTCGAGACTTCAAGGGTAAAGAGGATTCTCTGGATCAGTCCATTTATGTTAGGACCAAGGACAAAGGGCGAAGCAACTGAGAAAAGTGCAGGCAATGAGCAGGACCTTAAGAGTCACTTCAAGGATGTCTCCAAGTAATGAATCAAGTCAATTCAGTAGCACTGTCTTATCATGAAGACATGGTAGAAGTGAGACTGTAGGAGTAATCTTTCCAGCTGCAGTCTCTACCTAGTTAATTGGAGTTGGAGCCAGAGTCTCCGCAGCTGTGACCTTATCTTGCCCTTTGAGGTATCTCTGGCCTCACAGGCCACTATAGACCTCAGCCAGGACCAGTGATTCATAGAGGTTCACTTACTATGAATCAGCTCCCAGTCACCAGGCAAGAGGCCTAGGCCTAGGACGACTCACAGATGAACATAGAAAGCCAATTAGTAAAATTTAAATCCTGCTCAGAGCCGCTTTGTAGTGGTGTCCAACACCTATGATCTCATTAAAGAGAAGGCAAGGAGTCTGAATTTAAGATTTAACAAATTGTCCAACATGACCTCTTATAAATAAGCGTTAGATCTATTATCTGAGCTCATTGACCCTTAGCCATTCCTTATATTGCCACTCTCGCTTTTTCTAGGACTGGTCATGTTGTTTTCTGAATTGTGTACTACTTTTGCTCAGAGTATGACACCTTAGCAATGTGACATCATAAATGTCATGAAAGCTGTGCATAGCACATGCATTTTTTTTTATTTTTTTATTTTTTTTTATTTTTTTTTTAAAGAAAAAAAAAGCAGAGAAAGGGTACAAGTTATACAGATTTGCAGAAAAAAAAAGAACAGTAGGAAATCACTAGTTAGTGGATTACATACTGTCATCTTAGAAATAATTGTTCAAGTCACAAAATTAAAGCTTGTAAAGTGGACATTCCATCAATGATACTGGAAACAGTTCTGTTCAATGATCCAATAAAACTCTGTGATATCATATTCTATCTTATACACTTAAATATACATGCAGTTATATAGTTTAGAGCACTTTCTTTTCCTCTCTTTTGTACAATGACTATTACACATTTTGGGTTTCATTGCTCTCACGGTTCTTATTACTTTTTTGGAAGAGAGTAAAACCAAATGTGACATAACACAACAGAATCGGTCAAGTCAAAAGGGTGGACATAATAGATAATGTGAGAACATAATACAAGGTGATCAACAATGGTTACCATAATGCCTCCCGCTATCTCTAATAGAATTGCCTATACCATTAGTTATAATACAATTGAACAAAACAGTAAAGAACAAAACCGACAAAGCCAAACCATTGGAGGCATTGTAGGTCTTCAAAAGTAGATAAAAGTCAATGAGAATGGGCGTTATAATGAATCTCATTATCTTCACAGCTGATGCCTAAATTTTCGAACCTGATACTATCCAGCAAAACAGAATAGGGGAACATCAGTTAAAAACCAGATGGTGAGAGTAATACAGGGCTTTAAATCGAGGTAATGTAAAGTCAAAGTGGGTTACTATAATATATCCTGCTATTTTTTTCCTTTAATTAAAAGGATAAAAATTTTTAAAAAAGTATTAAAAAAGTAAATAATGGAGTGGAGATTGAGATAAAAGAGGGCATAACAACAAAACAGCACAGATCAAAACATAACCATTTAAGCAGAATAGTGTTTCACCACCAGATAATCCTGACCTAAAAGTAGTTACCATATTGTCTCTTTCCTTGAAATCCTTGAGTACAACTTCGTATACTGTAGCATTAAGTATATCAAAACAATGTAAAACCATTTAAGAGAATGACAGCATTACAGAGTATTTAGAATCGACTAACAGAAAATGAATAATGGTTTCTGTATAATCTCCTTGTCTTTAAAAGGTTTTTGCTTATACTATTGTACATAATAAAATCCAGTAAGACACAACCTATTTAGACCATTGGAGACAGAAGGACAAAAGCTAGATGAGACTTCTAAACAAGATGATACTAAATCAGTATTACCTATTAAGATGTCATTTTCTCCAAAATAGCTGTTCCTATCATCCAATCTTCTCTGCCTCATTTCTGTTGAGCTCTTATTCTGTCAGTAGCTGTCAGTTTGTCTTCTTCACTTTGTTCTCTGCTCTATTAGTCGTGGCCTCCACTATTTCTGGATTCTTTGCATTTTTCTTTTTTTAGAATATCCTGCAATACTCTCTGTAGAGTTGAATTGGTGGTTGCAAATTCCCCCAGTTCCTCTTTATCCTGGAAGCACCTTGTTTTCCCATCAATTTCCAGGGACAGTTGTGCAGGATATCTCAATCTTGGCTGGAGATTATTATCTTTCAAAGCTTGAATTATTTCCCCCCACGCTCTTCGTGATTTGATGGTTTGTGCAGAGAAATCTGCTGTAATTCTGATGGGTGCTCCCTTGTAAGTGGTCTGTTTCTTGTCTCTGACAGCTTTTAATATTCTGTTCTTGTATTGAATTTCTGGAATTTTTATTATTATATGCCTGGGTGTTGCTCTGTTTGGGTTGTAGGTAGCTGGGGTCCTGTATGCCTCATACATCTGAGTATCTTTACCTTTTGCTAAATTAGGAAAATTCTCCTGGATTATTTCTGTGAGTAGCTTTTGTAGTTCATTTGTTTGTGTCCCTACTTCTTCTTTTATGTTCTTAATCCTTAAGTTATGGATCCTCTTATCATCTTCTTGTCTTTGTATTATTGCTGTTTGTTTCTTTGTTATTTTTAAGAAGTTTTTCATTTCATTCTCCCATATTACAATTCTGCCCTCCAGTTCAGATAGTCTGTCCTTAGTTTCTTTCAAGCTGTTATGCCAGTCTTCGATAGACTTCTTAGTTTCTTGGTAGTCCCTTTGAACCTGCTTCACGTATTCTATGCTTTCCCTGTTTTCTCCATCAAACAATTCTCCCCTCTTTTTCTGTTCTTCCATTCCACCATCCGTTTTTTCTTGGGTGGGGCTTAGCATTTCTCTAACTATTTTGCATACTTCTAGCTTCAGGTCGTTGATAACTTCATTCCTGAATTGGTCTATGAGGCTCTCTATATGGTGCTTTATGTGTATCGGTGCGGTGTCCGCTATTGCCTGTTTCTCAGAATTGGGGGCCGAGGAGCCTTTCTTGTTGCTGCCTCTTCCCATATTCTCTGTTCCTTATATATGCAAGCTTATATGAGAGGCCCAGCTTCTCTCCCTGTCAGCCACAGCCTGATCGAATTGCGCCGGTCTCACCGCTGTGCACCAGGCAGCCTACGCGGGGGCCCGCCCCTCCTGGCCTCCGTCAGGCTCTGGGATCTGGGTTGGGCCAGCCTACGGGGTCTGCCGGCAGCGTCATGCAGGCCAGGCACTTTTCACCAATCCCACCTGAGAGGGGAATGTGTGGCTGGCGTCGCCAGTGCGCCCTGCTCCCGCAGGACTGCTCGGGCCCAGAAAGTCCTCTGCTGGAGTCAAACTGTGGTGGAATGTCAGTTTCTCTCACTCACCTCGCCACAAGTCAGAACATGCCTCCCTGCCCGTCCTGTTTTCGACTCCATTCGCAGACTCACGTTCTCAGAGTTTCGGCGCGTCTCTCTCCTTGCCGAGCTGATGTAGAGGCAGCCAGCCACCATGCGGTGAGAAACCCAAATCGCGGCTTCCAATGGCGCAGGGTCCAGCCTCAGCAGCGAGACTTTTCTGTTCCTGTTTTAGCACCAGGACTACATTCCAAGTTGGTTTCTCTCAGCCGAGTTCATTCCTGAGTCAGCAGAGCATAACTCCACCTGCTTATGTCTCTTTAGTCCGCACCATACCTGGCTTCTGAGCCTAGTTTTTCAGAGAGCCTCCGGTAGTTGCTGTTATCTGTCCGCCATGTTCTCCCGGAAGTCGAGCACATGCATTTTTAAGGAAAGTTCTATGTGGAAACGAAATTCATGGAATTCATTCAAGCCAGAACAAGACTTACCTGTTTTGTTGTTAAGTTAGGGATCCTCTGAGAATTGGAATATTTAGAAATTAGAGTGGGCCTATCAGTTTTTCAATGAAAAAAATTGAAAAATTTACTGTTCCCTAAAGTTTTCAAATAGCTTCACATGCTTGAAATCAATCCATTTTGAAAGCTGTAAGCACTTGGCATATTAGAGTTGATATCTGAATGATGCATAAATGAAATGTATGTATCACACCTGGCTCCTCTAAATAATCATGAACCCTTAAATCAAATGGGAAATGATGGGGAGTTGTTGGAATGCCCAAAGCTGTACCCTTGACTTAAGTCCATAGAGCCATAATTTAGAGTCTGCTAAATATCTAAGACTGTTGTCACACAGGGTAGTGGTTTGTTTTTCTGCCTTACGGGAAAGAAAGCCTTGTTTCTTTGTCAGAAGGAATTCCAGTGCTTCTTTCACTCATTCATTTCATGATATTTATTAAGTATTTATTTTGTGCATTTTTTTAATGAATGCTTTTTATGTGTCAGTTGCTAATTAACTTTAACTCTTTACTAGACACAGTTCTAAGCACTTTCATAACTTATTTTACTCAATCCTTCCCTTAGCCTATGAGGGTACTTTTTCTAATTTTCCATTGATGGATAAGAAGTTAAGATACAGAAAGATTAACTCATGGTGATAGAGCTAATAGGAGAATCAGGCTTTTAACTGGAGCATCTGAATTCGTAGCTTACCTGCTGTCCCACACTGAGTGATATTTGCTACTGACCAAATATCTAGTAAGCATAAAAACATTTTTCACTTTGAAGATGGAGAAACTAAGGTGAGAATATTCAGATCAGACAACTTGCTAATACCTCCCTGAAAGCTTTCAATGAGAGCCATTATCACTCTGTATGCCTGCTCTTATAATTAAAAGAAATAGTGTTCTCATTGATCAGAAATATTTTAATAAAGAACTATAACATGGTAGTGCTCATTATTAACTCTAATCTGCAAGGAAAGGATAAATCTCCCAGTTTAAAAAACAATTGTGACTATTGCTGGAATGGCTTAGTGAAGTAAGTTTTAAAACTTCAATTTGAGAATACAAACATGGGACAAGGGGAAAGAAAGAATCCTGATTATATATCTATTATGTGTTAGGTGATTTTACATATTTAATCTTCACATCAAAGTTTTAATTTAGATTGATTTAGTCATGCTTTATTTTCAAGGAAATATTGACTCCTGAAGTTTGATAAACTACTCTCTGAATAAGCTTTAACTTTCCTTGTTTTTCTTAATGTGCTTTGCTTTTGAAAGATAACCATAGCAAGATATTACCTAAAACAGTTATACTCTCAATTTTGTTGTGGAAAATTTGAAAATTTAGACAAATGTGAAAAATGTAAAAGCAAATTATAATCTCACCATCCAGACATAACTGCTGTGAACATGTTGGCTAGCTATCTCAGTCTCATATTTTTAAGTAGTCTTATATTTTCATTTTTCATTTAGTACATTTTGAATATCTCTTCATATGATTAATCTAAAAATAAAACACAGTTCTATGAAGTATTTTCCATAATTTATTTAGCCATCCTTTCTTTGGAGAATACAATGTTTTCTCTGTCCTTTCTCTAAATCAAATCAAATAAAACAAAACTTTCTTCACCCTGAATAGCAGAGAAACAGACGTAATACAATTTAATTTTGATTTTAGAGAGTCTGTCTTTATGAGTAAATTATTTTATCTGTGACTTGCTGGTTACCATATTTTTGGCATTTACTTTTTTATAAACCTCAGATGATAGCACAACATATATTAATGGATTAAATGAATCCTTTGCAATGAAATCTGATGGGCACAATGCAGGGTCATAGTTTATTTATACTAAGGCCAGATTTCGAGCCAGATGCATGGCCTGCAAAGGCCAAATTGTTTGGGTCTTGGGATTAGTTCCTATGAGTCTGCAAAATAAATGACCTCTCTGTGACTTCATTTCTTTTCTTGTAGAGCCTCCTTGGGTATCCACAGGTTGAACCTAGCTCTGGCATATTTTGAAAAGGCAATTGGCAATGTTATTGCCGCCAAGGGTGATGGCACATCAGAACTGATCAGACTGTATAAGGAGATTGCTCAGATAGAGCAGCTGAGGAAGAATCACAAGCAGGCCATCCAGTACTTGAAGCAGGTTGGTGAGCTTGCAGATCCAGGCAGAGTAGCCTTGTTTGCCCCATTACCCTGGGTCAGGGAACTTTAGGCTTCTCACAGCACAGCGTGGGGTTGGTTCCATTTTAACCCTAACTTCCCTCCAGATCCCTGGGAGTGCCCATCCACACTGTAAGTGCTGTGGACAAAGAACACGGATTCAGTTGAACATGACTATCCTGTGATCTCATTAGGTGACAGCACTTCCCTACCCAGGTTTCCTTCCCATCCCTCTGAGTGCTGTGAAGAGGAAGCCAACTGTGAGTTGTACTCCAAGGAAAAATTCGTCAAGACAACTGAACTTAAGTCTTCAACAAACACAAAGAGGCATTTAAACTAAATATTCTATTTTGGTACAATGCTATCATTTTTCCTTTGTACTAATCCAACTGGTTGTATTTCCAACTCTAAGGTTAAACTAATAAAAGGGTGTTTCCCTTGGAGGTAACTAACTTGACAATACTCAGGAGAAAATAAACAAAACATAGGAAAGAATGTTGAGTCTATTGTATGAGAATAGTGTAAGGCACTTTATGTAGTATGTACTTCAAACTGCTGGTTAAATACACCTTTTATCTCTTCCAAATAAGAATGTTGCTGTGTCTTTAGCTATCTTCCATGGCCACAGACCACACAAAATGCTTCCGGTACCATAGAAAACTTACTCCAAACAGTCTGACAGTCCAAGACTGTAAACATCACGCAATGGAGAAATGTTAGAAAATGCTGCTTGGAAGGCAGCGCTCCGGTGCTTGCAGAGAAAGCAGTCTGGGTTTTCAGTTCAATTCTTTCTGAAAGCAGTGGTAAGAGGAGAATAGATAAAACAATAAATATCAGTGTTTTTCAACAATAATCATGAGTTGAAATTCACAGAATGTTTTTATTCTGTGCACTTGAGGATATAGTAATTTATTTAATCCATATGGTAGTTCTATGGAGTAGGTATCAGTTCTATTTCATTTTAAGGAAAAGTGAAGCAGAAAGAGTTATAGCTAACTCAGATGAAGCTGTGCAGCTAACAAGTGTCAAAGCAAGAATTTAAACTCAGAAAATCTGATCGTAGAACCTATACTTACAACAGCTACACTCTAAAATGTGTCTTGCCGCTACAATGTTGTCTGATAGCACTTCAGATCTCAAACCACCACACAGAATTTGTCCTATGAAATATTAACCAGGCTGGTTTTCTTGCCTTTGGGTATGGACTGGATATTTTTACTTTTCTTTATCCTTCCTAAGTGTTATTCTTTCCATTTGAGCACAAAAAATAATAATCTTTTATATTTCTTTAGTGCTTACTACTTGCCAATATATTGACAATATAATATATTCATTATATATATATTATGAATATATGTAAACACTTTATATATTTATAATATTTACAACAACTGTTTTTGACTTAAATTATTTTCATCATCCCTGTTTTGCATTTGAAGGGGTTAAGTGACCTACTTTATATCATAGTAAGAGGCTGAGTTTTCATAAGAATTCAAGGAAGGGGGCTGGGGATTTAGCTCAGTGTCATAAGCACCTGCCTTGCAAGCAGGCAGTCGTGAGTTCAATCCCCAGTACCGATAAAAAGGAAAAAGACAAAACAAAAAAAGAATTCAAGTAGTATAGCTCTGGAATCCATGGTTTATAACTGTCTTTAATGCCAAACCCTTGAGAGGCTGGGCTAAGATTATAATTTTATTTTTGCTGTGAAATCTAGTGAAAATAATATTAGCTAGCATTTCTTAAGAACTTACCATGGAGTGGTTACTGTGCCCAGTGATTTTCCTTCACTAACTCATGTAATCTTACCTAAACCCTAATCAAGTAGGAACCATATATTTTTTCTGTATAATAAGGTGGAAGTACTTGCTCAAAACTCATAGCTAAGAAGTAACTGCTCTGTGACTCAAAGTCACTTGCAATGGTTTAAATAAAAGGTGTCCCCAAAACTCAGATGTTGAAGGTTTGATCACCAGTGTAGCAGTGTTCTTGAAGATGTTAATCTCACCAGTGGATTAACTCACTGATGAATTGGTACCTGAGTAGGCTATTAGGAGTTAGGGCACAGCTGGAAGAAATAGGTTCTGGAGAGCGCATCTTGAAGCATTGATTATATATTATTCTAGTCTCTGTTCCCTCTCCATGTATCTCTCTGTCTCTCTCTTTCTGTATCTCTCTGTCTCTCTCTCTCTTGCCACCATATTTCTGCCATGCTACAGGCCTAAAGCAATGAAACCAGCCAAACAGGGCCTAAAGCCTCTGAAACCATGAGCCAAAATAAATGTTTCTCCCTTTAAATTGTCGTTGTTGTTATTTCAGATATTTAGTCATAGTAATGAAATGCTAATACATCATCCTTTATTTAATTCCCTGATTAACTATATATTGACTCTGAATCAACTGGAAATTCTGTGAAAGTGACTAGAAAGTCCATAATGAGATTCTATCATTGGGTAGTTGCCTTGTCATTATTTTCTTTTTTTTCCAGGCCTATTCTATCTGTGTTTCTTCGTTCACTGAAATCAGCCCCCAAACTGCAGAGGTGGGTGCGTTATTAGCCAAAGCTTATGCCATGTCTGGAGACCCCCAGCACAGGGGTAGGTAGAAAAGATTTCTTTGCAGTTATTATTTCACAGTGACTTATAGGAAGTTTGTCAGTGAATGATTTGTGCCTGCTACAGAAAGATTAAGCTAGGTATGATTTTGTATAAAATTCATTACACATTGATTTGGAACTGGTAACATCCTCCAAATTGGTTGAAGCATCAGAACCAATAATATAATCTATTTTCTGGTTCCTTTATTTCCTTATAATTTCAGCATATTTCACATTTATAAAATATTACATCATACACACTATGAACATGACTTGTGTTATGTTGGTTAATGAGGAAATCTAGTGATATAAAAAAAAACCCTTAGCTCCTCCTGTCTTCCTCCACTCTCAATACCTTTGACTCTTTTCCTCTGGGTTATAAGAAATAATGTTTGTAGCAGTTAGAATTTTCTTGATTTATATTCAAAAGTGAGGTATGGAAAATCTAAAGGAAAACTAAGTGGTTAAACTAAGTGGTTTGTTCTTCCACAATAGTCTTTTGTCTGGCAAGGTTATCTTTTTTAAGTGGATGGCTTGGGAGAGATATAAAGCAACTGGTGAAGGAAAAATATATCATTCCCAGCTGGTGTGATGGGATTAATGGATACTGATAGAGTTCATGTCCTGTTAGGAAGAATAGAGGATTTGCGAGAAAAGCAATTAGAACATCTTTAAAATATGTACTTTCTTTTTATAAAAGCAGTCCATTTTGGTGATGTTATTTTCCAGTTATAGGGAGGAGGAGAGAGAGGGAGAAAGATTTATAGAGAACATCTTACATTCCACGTTTTTCCATTCTTTTATTCCTCATGTTGTTAAACGTTTTTCCAGTTTGCAAATATTTTGATATTTTAATGGACATTTACTGTTTTCTTATGTAGAAATGTTCATGGAACACTTTCTGATTATATCTTCTGGTGAATTTTTTTCTCCTTTTAAAAGTTCCTTTTGTATATTCACACTATATGTACATCTTGTATACTAGAGGTTTTTAAAAAACAGTGTTATAAGATTTAATATATTGATACATATGCAGAGTGTTTAGCTTTTTATGTGAAAATAAAACTACATAATCTTGGGAGATTCCAAAGAGTTCCTTATCTTTTTCTTGCATACTAATTTTTAATGTTAAAGAAAATATAGATTTACCTTTAGATCATGTTACTCATTAAATTACAGATGTAATTTGTACATTAAAATTTAAAATATAAATCAGCCAGAAGAAGATGTATCACTGGAATAGAAATTATTAAAATTAAAAATTGGAGAAAAACTTTTGAAGCACAGAAAGCTATACTATGAAAGACACGGTTAACAGACTAAATTACAAAAATATCTAAAACTATGTCTGCCACGAAGTCTATACATAAAATTAAAAACAACTCAGTTGGTATGAAGGGATCATCTTTTACAGAAAATGAATTTGTAATTAACCTACTAAGAAATCTCCAGGTGCAGATGATTTCACTGTGGAATTCTACCTAATAACTATTTAGGAAAGGAATAAAACAAATTCTACATAATCTCCTCCAGAAAAAGACAAGTGAAGAGAACTCTTCTTAACTAACTTTATGAGGCCAGCATTACCCGTATACAAAAACTGGGCAAAGATATTACAGGAAAGAAAAAAAAAAACCAAAGAAATAGTACAGACCAATATTTTCAATATTTTTGCCTGTGTACAAAAATCCTTAATGAAATACAATATAAATATAAGAAATAATAATATCATGAATAAGTAAGATTTTTTTTCCTCCAAAATGTCAGGCAGTTTTCGTATTCAAACTTCAGTCAATATCCTTTACTGTATTAACAGACCAAAGAGAGAAAACACACAGTCATTATCAATTGATATAGAAAAAGCATTAGGTAAAATTTAACATTAATTCATCATGAAAAGGAACTTTCTTAATCTGCTAAAAGGTGTACTGAGAAGCCTGACAGCTAACATTATACTTGATTGGAAAAGATCCCTTAAGATCAAAAGCAAGGCAGGATGTATGTTTTCATTTTTTTTCTTCATAAATCTTCACTAATTCAGCAAGGCAAGAAAAAGAAATAAAAGAAACATGATTTAGGAAGAAATAATGCCCCTTTTTACAGAAAACATGATTGCCCCTATAGAGAATTTCCAGGAATCTTAAATTAAGGAGTGGCATTAAATTGGGCCTATAAACCCAGCACTGTGTGCTGTGGGCATTTTACAGAAAATGATTTGTAGTTAACCTACTAAGAAATCTCCAGGTGCAGATGATTTCACTGTGGAATTCTACCTAATAACTATTTAAGAAAGGAATAACACAAATTCAACATAATCGCCTCCAGAAAATACAAGTGATTGAGGCTTGAAGGCAAGAAGGCCGAGGCAAGAAGACTGGAATTTCTGGAGCTCAGCCTGAGCAACTGAACGATTTAGGGGAACCTTGTCTTAAAATTTAAAAAAAGGGACCAGAGATGCAGCTTACTATAAATGCTCTGGGCTCAATACCCAGTAACAAAAAAATGAGATTAAAGTTAGCAAAGTTATAGACTAAAAAGTCAAGGAACAAAATTCAATTATGTTTATATATTGTGATAATCTGGTAAAATTAGAAGCAAAATTTTTTTAGAAAGCCCACTGCTAGGTGACAAAAGACATGCAGGATTTGTGTGCTGCAGACTCCAAAACTCTGGTGAAAGAAACTGAGTAAGTGATGAGACGTACTGTGTAGATTAGAATATACATGTAATTTTTTTCCAGATCTGATCTGTGGAGTTAATATCGCAGTTAAAATCACAGCAGGAATTTTTGTAAATATCAATAAGATGATTCTAAAATTTATATGGAAAAACAAAGAAACTGGAATAGCTAACATGATTTTGAAAATTCAGGGTACAGTTAGAAGAATAATAGTATCTGATTTTAAAATGTATGATGATCAAGAGAGTGTGGTGTTATAAAAGGGATAGAGATATCAGTATCATCACACCAAAAAAAAAAAAAAACCAAAATAGACTTTTAGAAAAATAGAAATTAACTTTGAGAAAGATGCAAATGAAATTCAGCAAAGAAAGGATAATCTTTCCAACAAATGGTATTAAGTCAATGGGATCACCACAGGAGACAGTAGAAATGAAAGGACCGCAGAAGGGCTCTGTAGGGTAATTCCCTTATGTAAATGCACATATATGGAAAACGATATAGGTGTAGAGAACGTAAGAGTCCAGTGGAAAATAACAACTAAGTGAGATTTGAAATTATTCCTCATCCTGCGTCCAGATCAACTGACAGGAGACCGCACACAGGCTTAGAGGTATTTAAACATAGTTTTTGCCCAAGTTAGTGACTCAGAATTGAGCTCTGCCCTCACAGGGGTTATCCCCAGGAATTCAGACTAGGACTAAAAACATTAAAACTTGAGAAAATTATTTCCCATTTCTGGTCTGGCATGTAAGGGCCTTGGAAATCATCAGGTCCTAACAACAAGTAAAAAGTAAACTGGAAAATAAACAGCTCTTTCTAGATCTGTCAGAGAAATAACATATTGGACAAAACAATATCTCCTGATGAGTTTTTGCAAAAGGGTGATTATAAAACAGTGAGACTGGCTCTTCCCTGCTCTCTGGCTTCTTATCTCACCATATGATCTCTCTCATCTCTCTTGTTCCCACCATGGTGACAGCCACCAAGATGTGAATGTAGCCAGGACAGCCCTTACCAGAGCCAGAACTATGCTGTTTGGACTTTCAGTCTCCAAAATTAGGAGCTAAATAAACCAGTGTTTTTAAAAAACATAAAGTATCCAACCTTAAGTATTTTGTTACAGGAATAGAAAACAAATACTAACATCTGAAAAACCTATACAGCTAATATTACTAGTGTTGTGAAAATACAAGTTTCTCGACACTAGTAAAAATGTTTCCAACTGAGATCAGGAAAATTGCTTTTCAATATCATACTAGAAGTTCTAGCTAATATAATAAGATAAAAATATACTGCTTTTGGAGGACAAAATAAAGCTGGTTTATTTGTCGAAATTGCCCTATACCTAGAAAATCTGAAAGAATCAACAAAAACAACAGCAGACTTCCTGGAGCTAATTATTATATATAGTGTATAAGATATTAGGTCCATATACAAAGTCAATTGCTGCCCTATATATAATAATGAACAAGTATAATGTGAAATTAAAAACAATACCTTTTACATTAGCATTCAAAGAAATGAAATGTGTAATTATTTAAATCTAATAAAATGTGCACAAAATAAGAAAAATATAAAATATGGCAAAAGATATTAAAGCATTTAACATGTTTGTAGATAAGGAGACTCAATATTGTTAAGATGTCAGTTCTTCTCAACTTGATCTACCGATTCAATAATAACAGGTTATTTTGTGGATATTGAAAACTTATTGTAAAGTTTATGTGAGAAGCAAGAGGTATGGAATGGTCAATATTAAAGGTGAACAAAGTGGAAGACTGATATCGTGTCACTTCAAACATTACTATAAAGCCATAATAATCAAGAAATGTTGCATTTCATCAGTAATAAGTATATAAAAATTACAATTCATTCTGTTTGTGTGTGTGTGTGTGAGAGAGAGAGAGAGAGAGAGACAGACAGACAGACAGACAATCTCAGTGAACAGTGATCTATATCAGGATTTTAGCTTAAAAAAATATATATATATATATATATATATATGTAGTCCTCCAATGCACCTGGAAGACTAGTATGGCATTTGTTTTGGTTCTTAAGGTAATAAAATTATTCTGACAGAAGCTGTCGTTTCCCACATAAAAGCCATGAATTTCATCATGAAAAAATCATCTGATACTATCAAATCATGGTCCATATGAGACCTAAGATGAGACCAGTAATGGACTTTAACATATGTCAGTTGATCCAAAGAGGATATCAGACAATTGTGAAGGCTATCAGCTTGCCTTAAATATTTATATTTTTTGCAGATGCTGTGGAGGTATATTTTATAAAAAGTATCAATGCATATCAAGCAACACTGGGCACAAAGAATCGTGAAACATTAGCCATCATTGAGGAATTTTGCAATTGGCTTGCCCAAATTGGGAAAAAACAGGTAAATATGTTTAACTCATAATCACTAGTTTGTTTATTAGGCTTAGGCAACCTTTTTTCATATCACAATTCAGAAACTGGAGCTGAGACAAATCTCGGGTAAAGCTAGAAATAACACAAGATTAGTGACAGGTGACTTTAGTAAAAAAGTATTTTTCTTGGATCTTGGTACATGAAGTCCTTTCTGTTTAGAACATAGATAAACTCTAACATTAAATTAATACTTGAAGTAATAACTGGTATCTACCTTTTGGATTTAGCTGCCAATGTTTTTTTCTTTCATAATAGTGTTTTTGTCTGACGTTCTTACTAGACACAATTTTGTTTTCACATTATAAAAAGTTGCAGAGCTACAAGAAAGGCGATATTCTACAATAATACCTTGGTTCATGAACTTAATTCTTTACATGATTCTGGTTACAAACTGAATTGGACAAGAACTGAATCAGATTTCCCCATTAAGTCAACATTGATCCCTAACACTGAATTTGATTCAATTCTCATCCAATTCAGTTTGCAAACGAATGAAGTTTTTGAACCAAGATACCACTACATTAACGTGCAAATATCTATCGATGTAATACACCAACTTTACAAAGAATAAAAACCATAAAATCATCATAAAAATACAAAAATAAATGAACAAAATTCAGTACCTTTCAAGATTAATCACAGTGAACAGAGTAGGAACAGAAGAAAATTAACACAATAAAGGCACAGCTGGGGCCAAGGGTTTAGCTCAGCGGTATAAGTGCCTGATTGGCAAACACGAAGTAGTGAGTTTGAGCCCAGCACCAAAAAAAATAATAATAATAATAATAATAATAATAATAATAATACTCACAGCTCATCTCATACTTGAAAATGCTAGAAATCTGAAAGTGTCTCACTATGTAGTTCAGGCTAGCCTGGTCACTGAGCAGCCCAGGTTGGCATCAGACTTGTAGCAATCCTCCTGCTTCAGCCTGCCGGAGTGCTGGGATTACAGGCATGTACCACCATGCCTGGCTAAAAGCTTTTTCTTCTAGATCAGGAACTTGACAAAGATAACCAGTTTCACTGAAAGTATTTGCCAAAGCAATTAGGCAAGAAAAACAAAAGCATCCAAATAGGAGAGGAAGAAGCAGAATTATCTCTTGCAGAATGATAGTGTTATGTAAAAAACTTGTCCTCAACCTTTCATCTGAAAATAAAGTGTAATGATTCTTATCTCATAAGACAGCCAGGAAGACTGAATAACAGTAACATACATATGAATTAACTTCTCTATTACTAGCTTGGAAATTTAACTCTTAATGGAAGCACGTTAAGTTAGGTGATACATCATAACTGACAGATCTTGGTGGGTTCCTCCTCCACAAGCACAGAACCTGTATGCTCCCTCAGAATTGCCAGGTTGATTGAAAAAAGAATTTTTGTTTTTAATCTCTTAGGAAGCTTACAGACTGCTAAAGGCTTCATTGAAGTCTCAGGTCATCAGCTATGGTGATTGTAGTGAAAAAGTGGCTGAAACACTGTATAACATGGGCACAATCTGCTTTGCCAAAGGAGAGGTCAGAAAGGCAAATCACTTGCTCAGGAAGGTGAGTTAAGGAGGGAAAATGCTGGCTGGTTTTGTTATGTTTTCCCTGGGCTTATTAGCAAAATGTAAGAAATAATGTATGTATGAAACTTTTCTCTTCGCCCCACCCTTCCTTGCCTTGCCTTGCATGGTGTCCCCTCCTCCTCCCTCCCCCGCCCTCCCTCCCCTCCTCTCCTCTTTCCTTTCTCTTACCCCTTCCCCCTTCTTTCTTTTCCTCTTCCCATTCCCTCTCCTCCCTTCCCTTTTCAAGATGTACTACCAATCGGTATTTATAGATCCAAGGCTGAAGACTTAGTAAAATAGGTAGAAATATTTCTATGTAAAGCCAAGTTTGTTCAAAATCAGAGGACAAATCAGTAGAAATTAACTAATGAGTGAGCAGAGGACAGAGTCAGAAGCAATCCACAGAAAGACATTGGCAAACATCAGATCTAGAGAGGTTTTTATCTTGTTTTGGATTAACTTAATATAAAGGCAAAATGGTAAATAAGAGATGGGGACCTTATTTTGAAGATCCAAAGAAAAAGAAAGCCTTCTGAATATAAATTCTAGGAACCAGAATAGCTTCTTCAAGGAAAGCATGAACACAGGAATAACCACTAATGGGTGTAGAAACTTAGGAGAGAAAACTTGAGGCCCAAAAGTGAGATGAAACCTGCTAAAAGTAAGAGAAGGAGTTCCAGTGAAGCAACACATCTAATAAAATTCAAATCAAAAATAACAGAGCAAGCAAAGAGTCTGAACAAGCTGATGTTGAGCAATATGTCTCAAATCTAGATTTGAATCAGTAAAAAGAACAAACTGCTCTCGGAATTAAAGAGAAAGGAGAGAGAGCATCGACTTTAGATGCTCAAAGGAAGCCCATTTGGCAGACAAATACAATATCAAGGATTGTGTTTATAGATTTCTAGTGATACTTATGGTTATTCCTCCTGAGAAATTCAAACTTAGTACAAAAGAAATCCAGTTGTCATGGCAGCACACATCTATAACTCCAGCCCTCCGGAGGTTGAAGCAGGAGAGTTGCTGTGAGTTTGAGGCCAGCCTGGGCTACATAGTGAGTTTAAGGCCAGCTTAAAGTATAAGGCAAGACCCTGTCTCAATGAAAGCTTTTACAGTTTAAACTTTTTATGTGCTTCTTTCACCCAGCATAAATATTTTCAGATTCATCCCTGTTGTTGTGTGTAGCATATATATTATTTTCTTTGCATCCTTGACAAAAATTGCTCTGTGTGTGTGTGTGTGTGTGTGTGTGTGTGTGTGTGTGTGTGTATTTATTTCTGGACTTTTTCTTCTGTTCCATTGATCTATTTTTGTGCCAATACATGCAAGCTTAAGCACTGTGGATTTAAAACAACCCTTAAAATTGGGTTGTTTTCTAATTTTTTCCCCCTAGTATCAGGGATTGAACTAGGGCCTTGTGCATGACAGGCAGGTATTGTACTGTTGAGTTTCCATCCAGCACTATCAAAGTTGCTGACAATATTCTGCATATGCAGAGGAACTTTGGAAACTCTATATGAATTTTAAAAATAAAGCCTTCTGGAATTTTGACTGAGGTTCCATAGAATGCATAGATAAGTTTTTAGAGGTGACATTTTTAAAGCAGTTATTCATCTTACCTAGGAATGTGTTGTGGCACTCTATTTATGTAATTTTAAAAATTCAATAACATTTTATTGTTTTAATCTACAGGTATTGTACATCTTTCTTTAGATATAAGTATTTGTATTTTTGATGCTATTTTAAATCTACCAGGCAGTACACACCTGTAATTACTGCACTTGGGTGGTTAACACAGAGAATCACTGTGAGTTTGAGGCCAGTTTGACCAACCTACTGAATTCAAGGGCAGCCTGAATTACACAGTGAGAGCCTGTCTAAAAACAAACACCAAACAAAAAAGCTTCCAGTTTTGAATTTCATTTTCTAATTGCTTGTTGTTGGTAATAAAAATAAAATTGATATTTTTGTATAATAATCTTGTATCTCATGACCTTGCTAACCTGGGCATTTTAGTAGCTGTTTTGTAAGTTCTGTTAGATTCTCTACATAAATGATCAGTTGACCTCCTCATCTGCAGATAAATGCAGTTCTGTATTTTATATTCTATTCCAACTTAGATGACTATTGTTTCTATTCTCATCCAAAATATTTTTTTCCTATCAGACATTGTAATTTTCGCCTTCTGCATTTTGCCTTGATATATACGTGTGTATCTTTTTAACACATGGAATTGTTACAGTATTACATTTAATGTACTTCTTTACTAGTTCTAATACCTGTATCAGTTATGAATTGGTTTGATTAGTTTTTTTCTCACTAATCTGTTTCTTTGAAAACCTAGTAATCTTTATTTTTATGCCACACATTGTGTACTTTATCTTGTCAGGTGTTGCATATTTTTGCATTCTTATAAACATTCTCAAATTTCATCTTCCAGGACAAGGTGGTTTCCAGTTTAATTACTTGGAACCTTGGTCCCTTCACGTTTTGCTTTAAGAATTTTTGGATGAGCCTGGGCACCATTTATCAATGGCTAGTTATCCTCTATTTCCAAGACACGAGCCTTTTGAGTTTATCACCCAAAGATCGATGAATAAGGAGGCTTTCTAGTTTGGCTGGTGGAGCAGGCACCAACCTGTCTGTGTTTCGTTTAGTGTTTCAGATGCTTCTTTCTGCAGGTTGGGCCGTTTCCTCACATGCATATTTTAATCAGTTCTCTGCTGAGAGGAACCACTGCAGATAACCATGGTTCTTTTTCTCTGAAGCTATCTTAAGACTCTGCCTTAAGAGTCTCCTGGGACCCTTTGTCAGGGAGTCTGGTGAGCTCCATTTATTCCCTCTCATCTTTGTTGTGATATGACCAAAGATGACCAAAGCAGTCATTTGAAGCAACAATTGGATTTATCTCATTTGCTTTCTCTCTCTCTCAGGGATTGTGGTTTTTTATTGCTTGATGTCTAGTGTCTTGAAAATTGTTTCATGAATTTTGCCTCTGTTTTTCTTTTTCTTTCTTTCTTTTTCGTGACTGCATGCTTGCAAAGCAGGTGCTTATGCTGCTGAGCTAAATCCCCAGCCCTTTCTTTCTTTCTTTTTCTTTCTTTCTTTCTTTCTTTCTTTCTTTCTTTCTTTCTTTCTTTTTTGGGTGTTTCATGTAAAGGGTGAATCTGATTCCTACTGTCTCATCTTGGCTGGAAACAAAGGCCAGTGATAAAGTTAAAAAGAAAACCACCTAAGAAAAATGTGATGCAGCATGAGAATGAAAAGCAGCTTTGGGATGTATACGTAGTTGTCATTTATCTCTATTCATTTAGTTATAGCTATTTGGGAAATTCTGGTGAGAACTACTAGTACAGCCCTGTTTTAAGAAGTGATGCAATCAGTTTTTGGCCCCGTTACTTTGGTTATTTGTCAGCATGATTGGCAGTGGCAAGTTCAGTAAAATGGAGTATATATACAGCATGAGAGATGCAAAAGGTAACTAATGAGATTAATGCAGATCCCTTTTCCTCTTTGGTAAAGAGCCAATGATATTAGCACAGGCATTCCAAATGTAAACTTGGGATACGCCACTTTGTCGTTTTAGTTTGGTTTGCAATCAAGGATCTTGCTATTGGAATCTCTTTAACCTATTATATTTCTCATTTTACCCCTAGTGTCTGATGATTCAAATACTTATATATGGAAATGATCATAGTAAAAGCAGAGAGACAAAAAACCTTCTTACTCTAATACAGAGGTGAGTTCTGACCATCAACCATGTGATCAATATGAATATATGCATAACATGCTATCTCTCTGATTCAACTAGCAGGGTGATACAGGCTTGTTATCGTTACTAATAAGGCAGAATCCTACTGCTGCAATGGATTTAGCTAATGGAGAGAGAACTGATTTTATATATCTCTTGAAACTCAGTATTACAGGGGTTGGCTGCAATGATACTTATAGTATCCCTTTCATTGCTGAACATTATTGCTAAATCCTGCAAAGTCTTTGCTGACACAGTGTGATAGTTATGAGATGAATTTATACAAAGTCAGTACAAAGTACATTCAAATTATTTTTATTGACTTACAAGGTCTAGGTTCTCAAACATAAGGCAAACATTTTGTGTTTGTTTGTTTGTTTGTTTGGTTTTTACTTAGTTGCCTATAAAGTAATGAAAGTGTTTCTTCAGGTTTTTTTTTTAATGTCTAGAATTTAAGTCAAAGAGATTTTTCTTGTGTGTCATCTTGCCCCATTCTTTAGTTTCCTCATGTCATTGATATTTGTTCATCTCAACCGTAGTGTTGACCTGGAAATATTTTCATGTTAGAGAGAAAGCCATAAAGCCAGACATAGGGCACCTACCAGTATTCCCAATATTTGTGGGGACTGAAACAGAAGTATATCAAGTTTCAGACCAGCTTGGGCTTTGTAACAAGTTCACGACTACCCTGAAATTAATTAAAATTTGTTAAGTGTATACTAAATCCCTAAAATTGAACTAGTTTCTGATCATAAATATTTGATTTAAACTTCACGAATATTCAGTGTGAATGTTCTCATTTGATGGGAGCCATGTGTTCTATAAAGGAATTTGCTTAAATTCCACTCATTTATGGAGACCAGATCTCCACTCATTTATGGAGATCCAAGTAAGTGCAATCCTCAGGGTTATGTGCTTTTCTTGCTCCCCCCTCAAAAAATCCTCTAACAAAGAGAGGCATGGTTATGGGTGAGAGTTAGGGCCCTTGATTGCATTCACTAGATCTGACTCTTGATCTGTCCCTTCTCCTAGGGGTAACAATGCTATGCAGGGGGGAGAAGAGGTGAGTAAAGCAAGTACTTGAAGCGCTTCCCGTCTCCACCCACCTCAGTCAGAGCTACATCCAAGGTAGGCTCTATAGAAGGCTGTCACCTTTTATCATTTCCAGAAGACAAGGTTCTCTGGCATCCTCCTGTAATGCTCAGACTGGGAGCATATCGAGGACAGGGAAGTAGGGGAAGATTGTGTTGTCGTTGCCAAGGCATTTGAAAACATAATTTTAAAAATCAATAACCATAAAAATCTGAGAACTACAATACAGAACTCTTTCTATTTTTTGGAGTTTATTGTATTATGTATTTACACATGCTATTTCTGGTCCATAAATCACACTATTAAGTACATATAGATTTTTTCTTCTTTGTTCATGCTCAGGAATTTTGGGATTCTTGTTAAAAATCACCTAGCTGATGTGTTAAGATTTGAACCTAAATTGATAAGATTTCAAAAATGCTATTTCTTATAATTGTAGATATAGGTAAGTGTAAAGTACTTGCATAACATACACAGGTCTTGGATTCAATTCCCACCACCACACTTAGATACATCTTTCTCTGTGTAATAAGGGATTTTGAGTCTGATGAATTGGTGTTTACATATAGGCATAATTGTTCATCAGGTAAGACTTCAAAACCCACTTTATATGAGAAGAAAAAAGAAAACCAGGCATAGAGACACATAACTATACTCCTAGATACTTTGGAGGCTGAGGCAGGAAGATTGCTTGACTTCAGGAGTTCAGGGCCAGCCTGGGCAATACAGAAAAACCCCAGCCCTTTAAAAAAATACAGAGAAATTTCATAAGAGCTGGAGTAAACCTGTTTTCTCAGTAGCATAAGGTTGCTTTTCCTTCTAGTTTCATTGTTCCTCATTCATGACTTGACAGGAGTCACAAAAGGAGAAGAAATTAGGAGACATCAGTTTAACCTAAGATAGTATGAGTTTCATTAGGTGCTTAAAGTCTAATTATTCTGTCTGTTGATGACAGCCATACACCTATAAGGAAAACCATATAAAGGGGTAGAAGAATCTTTTTGAATGACTGCTGTAGCAGAGTCAATAAAGATTTCCCTTTCCCTGAAACAAGCCCCTATCCCATTTCTCAAGAACTGCTGAGCAAAGCTGTAGAGAAGTAGCCGCCAAGGACCAGATGTCAAAGTGCAATGCAAGAATCGTCTCTGCTTCGGCATTTTACTGGAGTAAGCAGTCCCAGATGTCCTGGAACTCTGCTAGCTTTCCAGTGTGCTCTCATGTGCTTTTCACCCCACCTCCTCCACAAACGCAGTGACAGTGCTCACTGTACTTTCATTGCCAGGAGCTTGAGTTCTTGGCTTTGAAAGCCTCTGCAAAGTAGTTAAAGCAGAACCGGTGTTTTGAAATAGGAGCTAATTTCAAGGTTAAGTGATAGCTACAAGAACCTCAAATAAGATTTTAGTGCATAGAAAAGGCATAGGTTTAGTCTAATTTTTCCCTAAGTTGCGAATGTACTTCAGCCTAGACATTTGTGTATCAAGCTCCTCCTTCTAAGAATAGAAATGCTGTTAGGTTTAAGATATAGTTCTTCCTGGGAAAATTGAGACACATGACTGAATTACAAATTAGTCTATAGTAAATCTTTAACAAAAATATAAACAACAACAACAACAACAAAAAACAAAGTATAAATCTTGGGGCTTGAAATGCAAGTGCATTGGTTTTAGGCAGGGTTCGGAGTCTGCAAACAAATGTAGAACACAGTATCAGCAAACAGAAAAGAAGCCAGAGGAAAGTATTCCAAGTATCATGAATAAAAGCATAGTGTCATAGAGATACTTGATATTTCTGAGGAAAAACATGTAACTTTTTATATCTGTAGTTTCTTTTTCTTTTGGGTCTGGCTATGTAGTTCAGGCTGGCCTTGAACTCAGTATGTAGCCAATGCTAGCCTCAGAGTCATAGGGATCCTCCTGTCTTAGCCTCCCATGTTCTGGGATTTTAGACACGTACAGCCACACACAGAGAGTGAGTGTACTTTAAGGTATAGGCTTAGAAACAAGCCACAGATGAACTTGGAAAGAAAGATCAGAACTAGATTATCAAACTATTACGTGCTTTGCTAAAAAAAAAAAAGTAGAATTTACTTGATAGATGGAGGCAACTATCAAGAGTTTTGCACGGGATGTGGCAAGTTTACTTACTAGTATTTGAACATCAACTCTGAGAGCAATGGGAAGGATAGATGGATCTAGGGAGTAGCAGAAAGACCAGTCGGGAGGCAGAGCCAATAGTGCAGGACAGAGATCCTCAGACTTGTCATTATCAAATTCATAGTAGAAGGAATGTAAAGAGAATGAGTTGGGAAACAACCCAGAGTCTGTGTTGACAGACCTTGGAATTGATCAGATATAAAGTGTGATGGAATTGGGAATCAGAGGTGGCCTTGACATTTCTAGTTCAGCAACTGGGTAAATGGCAATGTTATTAAATTGGCAATGTTTTGTATAGCATTGGCAAAAAGGGATCATCTTGAGGAACAGATAGGGGCACTAAGGAAGATAATGACTAAGGAAGATAATGTTGAAGATACCTGCAGTACATACATTTGGCAACGTCTGGTAAGCTGTTGGCTGTAAGGACCAGAAATTCAAGGAGTTACGTTCTGAAGCCAATGGAATGGGTGATATAACTGCTGGAACACGATGCCTTGGAAAGGGCTTGGAGAACACTTTCACTTATTTTGGAGGGAATATAGCATGATGGTAGCAGAATGCTAAAGCTCAAATTCAAGCTTTTCCACTGACAGTAGGACTTCCTAAGTTTTATTTTCATCTGTGAAAGACAAATAATAAGAGTGCTCAATTTTTAAGTGCTTAATGTATGGCTGGCACATAGTTTTTGTGACATTATTAATTATTATTGTTGTTATTTTATTATTTAGAAGAACTGAGATTGATAAAGAGTCCTCCAAGAATGAATAGACAGGAGAAAGATAACAAGCAAAAGGAGAAGCATGTTTCAAGGAAGGAGTCAAAGATATTGTCACAAAGACATAAAGACAGTTTAAAGAAGAATAAGTGCAAATCTCTAGTAAAAACAAAGAATTTTCAATCTCATAATTAAAAGTTTAAAATATGAAATTGCATTTTTACCCTATCATATTTGTGCCTATCATAAATATGGGTAATACAAACTCTGTTCAACACTACACACTGTTATCCACAGAGATACAAAAGCGCTGGGGGAGCCGCCTTCTGTGGAGTCCATTTGTGGGAATGATTATTGATATCACTATGTTGGTGAGCATTTTTGGGAAAAGTAATGCAATGCTTAAATGTATGTCTGACTCAAAATACTGCTCCAAATTTGTCTTTTGAAATCCTTAACTTTAGCACAAAGGCCATTCACCTGGCTTATTCACAAAGGGGTCACGGTCACATTCCTTCCCAGTTTGAGAGTCTTTTGTGGTTAGGAAGCTCAAACTCTTTTCAAAGCTAAGATAGATGATTGTGAACAAGCAGGGAGAAAGAAGGTCCTGGTTCAATCTGTTTGAAAATCTGCTAATGTTTGAAATGTCAAAAAAAATCCCAGTGTTTATTCATTGCCCTCATAATTGTAGTTTGGTTTTGAATGCATCCACATTATATGCTGACTTGAATATAGTTGTTATTAATCTTTGTAATGACAGGTTGGGTTTATTAAACAGGTTAAATATGTCACTTGAATAAACAAGATTTGTAGCCCATTCAGTGTCACTAAAATGTGCTGTCATGGAGGGACTATCACAACTCAAAAACTCTGGCCAGTGATCTACCTGTAGAAACCTGTCTCACTTCTGTGTGTAAGATAAGATGTGTCTGTCTCCTTACAAAACTGCTCAGATGTGAGTTAAAGGCATGTGCTTTAATTCAGTTGGTAATTTTAATCACATCCTACAAGATGTTCTTATATTTAGTG